AGAGATAATACAAATACACATACAGTGATGAAAGACTGAGATGTGTGGAGCCTCTCAGGAACCATGCACCAACTCCCAGACACACATTTCATCACTGACAGAGCTGAGAGACGTAGAAACAGCATCTCTGCTTCTCAGAATACAGATCTGGTATGAAAGGAAATGCACACATACACACATGAAGAGCCCTTAAAACATAAACACAAATGAAGGAAGTTAAAGGACATGAACATCCCACATTTATTTGTTTATTTGGATCCCTTCGAGCCGCTTCTTTAGTTTCAAACACATTAATATAACTGTCAGCTGTGCTCACGCATACCGTTTCTGCAGCAGAACGTACACACACACTGACAGGCAGAGGATGCAAACTTCAAAAGCACGAAATAAATAAATGAAGGACGAGTACGATAGGGATGAATAAATAACCAGAGGAGAGAGAGAGAGAGAGAAAAACAGGAAGGAGAGACGGAGAGTGCAGCAGTATAAGCGGAAGCAGTGAGTGAGATGCAGTGATTTTTGAAAGAGGGCTGGAGGTGAGAGGGTTTGTCACACACAGTTCTTATCTCATTTTGCTTAAAGAGCAAAGATGAAATCAGACTTTGGAGATGCTGTGTATGTGTGTGTATTTTTTTGAGTGTCCTGCAGGTGGAAAGTCTGTGCACAACACAGAGTGAGTGCAAGTGACTTGGATGTCTTTTGAGTTTCCTACACTCTGTCTTTTTTTTTTTTTAAATTATTTGGAAAAGGGTGTGAGTGTGGATGCAAATATGCAAATGAAACGGTTATTATTGCATTGCTCATCAAGCAGCGCGGAGCAGACATTAATAGGCTGATGAATATGCATGTGAATTTGTTAATTAAGTTAATTATTCTGCTGAAAATGCATTCGTCTTCCAAGGACATCTTCCCCAGGATTCCAACCTGCTCCACTCATTAGTCATGCGATATTTTACACTGGGCGCCGGGACAAGAGGTAGGAGAGGGAGGGGCAACAGGGGCCACCAGGTTGATATGTATACAATATGAGGGCATCATGGTTTTCAAGTCCACTTAAGAACAGCAGTAAGAGCCTCAGAAAGAGATTTAATGGCATTATAATGACACTTAATCCTTCATCAGCCCTCTAAAAAAAAAGGTCACAAAGAAAAGAAGAAGCACTACACCCAGAATACAGTGAGGCGCACACACACTCACAGTGGCCAGACATTCACTCCATCTCTGCTTTTCTCTTTCCTCTCCAGTAATTCCCCCTCTTCACTGCTTTTCCTCTAATTGCTTATTAAAACCCTCTTAAATGAACTTTTTGTGCCAACTTTCCAACACATTAATTAATTGTTGTAGCCAATTAAGTGTCGCTGCGCAAATGAGCTTCAGCACAAATGGTCCTGCAGGGCCCGTCCACCCCCCCCCACCCCCACCTCCCACACACACCCACCCACAAACCCCCGCCTTTACACCACCACCCTCCACCTCCTCATCCTCCTCCTCCTTCTCCTCTTCTACCACCCTCGCTCACTGCTTTCCCAGCAGCCCTTCTGCCCTTAAAGTGGCAGCATCCACTCAGACAGGGAGAGACACAATAACCCTCTCCTGCTCACGAAGCTCTATGAACTGAATTGGTAATGAGGATCTGAGACCTTGCACAACTAATTTGCTCTGCAAAAGTGCAGCATCATGCAGAGAGGGTGATGTGTCTGGCTGAGCAGAGAGAACTAGAAAAAGGTCAGAGAGAGATTTTTTTAAAGCATCATCCTTCATTTTTAAACTTTTTTTGTGCTACTTATTACTGAAGAAGCAAATAAAAGTCAACAATTAAGGGTTGAATATGATACTAATGATAATTTTTTTAAATGGCAACAATGTCTTTAAATCAAATTAGCAAACGTCTGTATCATCCAGCCAATCAAAAAACTCCTCAAATTTCCTTGCTTGGCGTTGCTGCTGCTGTTGAGCGATAAAGAAATAACGATTGTGTGTGACAGCAGTTTCTCGCAAAACTATAAACTGAAGAGAAATGGAGATGGTGTTATGGCATCAATAAAGCACGCTGGTGCCGCACTACAGCATATATCACTGCTGGGATAAAGTCAATCAATTCATAATATCACATAAATAAAAATGTAGCCATAAACGAAATGACGCACATTAAATTTGGCTTGATAGAAGACAAAGAAGAGGATCTGATGAATACAGCACATTTCATGCAGCTAACCGAGATCTACTCATAAATCACTGCACATTTTTATTTCTCAACTATGACACCACAGAGATGCAAATATTTGTTATTTTCTACATTCAATTAACTATTCACTATTTACATTAGCTGGTCTTTGCAGAACAGTGTGTGTGTGTGTGTATAAGAGGGATGTGATACTGTGTGGGTCCCTTTCTCCCCTCTCTGAGTTTACACTGATCAAACAGCCTCAGTAATCAAACTCAACTTTAAACAGTAGCGAGGCTCAGGGAGACGTCTGCAGCCCACACACACATACAAGAATTCACACACACTGAATGAATACACACAGAGAAAGCCCGGCTTTAGGAGTCAGAGAGATTAGCTTCCTTTTTAAGAGTCAGTTAAAAGACCTGAACTGGCGTAGACCTTCATATGTGATGGAGAATTTACTGCGGAACAAGTAAAAGGCATAAAACGGTTTTTATAGAGTGCTTCAGCTGCAGAATTCATAGTTATGTTTTGTCTGGAAGCACCAATCAGTCAAACTTTAGACTGTATCCTTTGAATGCTCGCATGGAGTTAATAAATCTCAATCTGAGCAGAAAATGAAATCCACGTAAGCCAGAGAGCTTTTTCTTAACACTGCAAAAACATCTTCACTGTCTGACTGACTGAATGTCCCTAATGCGAAAAGGAGGATTAAAAAAACTCTATCATAACTATCTAATCCATCTTCTCCATCCTACTTTGCCCTCTTCTCTTTTCTTGCAGCGGATAAGTCAAATTTTTTCTAATCTTTTTGTGACTTTTTGACTTTTGGCAGTCTGAAAACGATTATAAACTTTGTGGTTTCAACATCTGTGGTCACCTGTGCTTTTCCAGTTTCAACTATAACATTCAATTGACAGAGTAAACATTTCTTTCTCCTGAATTCATTTCCATCTTTTTAGTGGCTTATATAAATTTAGGCAGACAAACATGACCAGGACGAGGTCCATACAAATGCGTGATATGAGAGCTGGGTTTGTCTCTAACGTTGAAAACGAGGATGAAGTTTTCCCACATTTCTGTGAATACTAAGATCAGGCTGAATCATGTTGGAGATATCCAATTAGTGCATACAATCATCTTACACGGGGACTGAGGAAATTAGTCCCTGCAGTAATGCCAAACTACAACTGCATGAATAAAATCTGGTATAAATTTGTCTAAAATGGTCTGTCAGTCAATTTGTCTGGAAGTCCACCAAAATCACTGTAGCCGACAGTCAAGCTCCGGCATCCAAAATGGAAGCTCCATTTTGAAAGCCGCCGTTAGCTGTCTCTGCCACGGCGGGTACGTGCTTCAGACTGGCAACATGGCACATTTATGGGCATTCCCCATAAGGTGCCTTCCTGATTGATGGCACAGTCTCGTGCACCTCCCTCTCTTCAGTGCTCAGTCCTGATTTATTCGTCTCATCTCTGTGACTTGGCACCAGTATTGCCCACTACTTCTCCTGTGGAAACTCCCTGCGGGCACATTCACTATTATTTGGAGTCCCGACGGGCAGAAGCATCAGACAGAAACATACACATACACACCCTCATACACACACATCACACTGTCTCATCTCACTCACACTGGGCCTGTGCTAGAGGGCAGGTGAGCCTCCCACTGCCTCCACTCTGAAAGGATCTCTCACCCAGAGGGCTCAGCTGCTCGGTGGGCCAGAGGGGTAAGCGGCTGTGTAAGCCTGCCAAGTGAGGGACTGGTCTGGGTGTGCGTGAGGCCAATCCTGGCATACACACAGAAAAACCAACACACACACACACGCACATAGCCAGCCTGTATGAAGCTTGGCAGATTCTGCCTTTGCCAATCTGCAGTTTATGATCCTTGTCTGCCTGTCAGAATCTTCATAAAGAGATCAACCCAGGTAGTAAAGGGATCCTCACTACACTACGATTGATGCATAAAGAGCTCTTCTGACTGGGTCAAAGTTATCACATATTTGACAGTCGCTAGGAGACAAAAAAATGACTGTTTTATGAAAAAAAGTAACATTTAAACTGAAATCCCAAACTGCCATAAATACTTTTAGCTTCTTCTACATTTCCTAGTCAAGTATTTTTGTAAAATTGAGTGTAGCCATTTTTAATTTTTGATTGACACAAATGCAGTTGACCTTCAACGATAAGAGCAGAAAGATTATATGTAAGTTAGCAGCAAGAACAACAGATATTTTTACTGAAAAAAATTAGTTATAAATGTTTGCAATTTAGGTCCTTTGATTGATCACTTATTTTTTATTGCCTGACATCTTTAATTATGATTAGTCTGCTCATTTTGATTTGCTAACATGAGATCCTAGATAGTAGCAGTGATAAAACACACTGGAAACCTGGACTGAATCAGGTGGATGATCATAGACTGCATCTACTATGGACAACTTGGCTCCGCCTTCCACCAGTATACAAATTTGAAGCCAAATTGCACTCAGTATTTCCGGGTTTTTTCTCCACTTCCTGAAACCAACATTGCGCAGTAGCGTTGTACGCAATTCGGTGACAGTCAGCTCAAGCAGCGTATTCCCTGGGTGAGCTACGCAATCTTTGTACACCCATAGGCTGTATCAACTGTCAATCATAGAAAACATGAACCCCTAATAACTTTTAACAATGGAGCTGCACAGAAAAAAGAGGACTTGAGCACAAACCAGTCTTACAGTGACTACATGTCAACATCACAAGCAGGGGGGAGAAAAATTTAAATTCTGTGTAGTAAATTTCTAAAGTTTGTCCACAGCTCCATAGGGATTGCTGGAGGAGGTGGGATTTATGGCCTACACTGCAGCTCATCACCAGTGGGTGCTGTTCTCGTGGTGGCTTCACCCACCAAGGAGGCAGACAGCGTCCATTCTATATACAGTCTATGTGGATGATGCAAGAATAACATCAGTAGTTTAGGTTGAAGCATGAATGCTTTCTACGAAGCGGCTGAATCGGTGTGATGTGTTGGAGAGACAACTCAGCTGGTCGCATAACTTCCTTTAATAAACTGAACAAAGAAAACACATATTACAAAATATTATTTTCTTTTTACAGACAAGTGGGACCATTTTTCTCTCCCTTTCTTTTTCCAAAGCAAAAAATGGAAACAGAAAAATGGAACTTTTTTTTAACCTTGAATAATTTTCTTTGTTTTGAAAATAACCGCACAAAAAAAGCTTTTGCTGCACAAGTTGGCAGGGAGGCGACAACATATTAGACAAGGCTCTTAGAGCCAGCAAGGAAAAAGCTGGAAATTGTTTGTGTTTGTTGTATATAGTGTATGTTTGTCACTGTTTACTTCTGATAGCAGGATGGTGTGTGCGTGTTACAAAACAGTCCATCATAATGTAGTGGTTTAATTCATATCATAGACTGAAAATGAGCACTACAGGCTTAAGCTTGTTGCAACACAGGAGGTCTCTTCATGATGAGTACAGAAGTCTATTGATGGGCCAAGAACACATTACAATTCAACTGAGTTGATGACAGGCAGTCTTTGGGGACTATTTAAAATAATGGCCCGCAGACATACACTGATGTAAATGACACCCAAAGCAGACACTTTATCCACATTTCCCCACCAGGGCAAGATCATTCAGGGGTTGCCGGGGTCATGAGAGAGGCACAAGGCTGTAAGAGGGGGGCTCTCACCAGCAAGTTTCAACTAAAAACTCAAGGTCCTTTGTTGTCATCAGTGGACTCATTGGTTTAATTTCACTCATAAGGAGTGTTTTAGTTTCAACTAAAATGCTTTTGCTCTGTCACAGCCAAAACTTTAGAAAAGAGTGGAGGACAGTCACTGAATCCCCCCTCAACACTTCTCTCTAAAAGGGCACTACAGTGGACATGACAATCATTCGTACTGAGGAGAAAAAAAGATCATGGCTCCTCTTCTTGGTTGAGTGTCAGCAGCGAAACACTCATTTTGGAAGCTAAACAAAGGTGTCAGGAAACCCAGTGGAGAAAAAAAGGGCAGAGATGCAAACGTGGTGACTCTACCTACATAGACTGGTCATGAACATACTGACCACAGGTGCGAGCACCTATCCACTATGACACTCGTTCAGTGGAAAGTGATGTTCATGACCTTGAAAGACCGTCAATCTTTTTCCTACATTCGTTTTCGAGATCTGTGTTTCAGCTCTAGCTACCTGCTCATGGTCCAGCGAGTCATAATTGGTTGATGTCCCTCTGAATTCTTCCTCTGCCTTTGCCCTCAGGCCAGGGTCACCGGAGCCATCTCAACATAACCGGGTCTGTCACCCTGTAGGGCCTGAGGTCAGCGTGCAGTTCCGTGGGAAAAGCGTAGATCCTGGTCCTTGGGGAACTGCGCAGTGGTTGGAGCAGCAGTCTTTGGCCCCGATGGGTCCTCAGCTGTAGCCGAAGATTTGGGTGGTGAGTCTGCAACCCAGGGTGGAGGGGGCTGTCCCTGGGCTGGAGCATCTACTGCAGGAGAAGGGTCCTTGCTGCGCTGAGGGACCTCAGCTTCCGAGTCATGCTGGGAGATGAGCTGAAGCAAAGCAGCTGCTACAGCAGGGCTGATGTCCTGGTTAGGTTGGGTTTCAGACCCAGCCTGCTCAGCATTTCCAGCGAGGACAGCTGATGGTGGCGGCCCTGGTGGTGAGGGTGGACGCTGGTCACCAGACTGGGGCACAGGGTTAGACCCAAACGGTTTCCTTTTTGATGGTGCAGTATCTGTGGGGATCAAAACAGAAGAGAGGACAAATGTTAGCTACTGGGATATTTTAAAAAAAATACATGCAGCGTATAGACTGTGTCACAGTGGCATTAATGTCTCTGTTTATGTTAAAGATGCAGTGTGCTAACCCGGAGCTCAAGAAGCTCTTTTTTTTGACCAAATGACCTGATATAAATTAGCAACGTTGGCACGGTCCTACCTTTACCACAAGAGGGTGGCAGAGGACTCTAAGAAAATCTTCTCATCAGTTGCACGTTGGCAGTTAGTGGAGGCTTAAACATCAGTTTACGCATGGCAGTAATATTAGTTTAGTTAATCTATGAGCAATGCATTGATTAATACAGTCAGTTCTTAGACCCAGACTTTAACACAAAGATGTGCTTAGCCTTTAAAAAATCATAAATGCACATATTCAGGTAAATTAAAACCTCGTATTAAAGGGTCCTAAAAGGCTTTGACTTTATTCTAACGTGATTTGACTATTAGAGATTTTATTCAGTACAGCAAAAAAGTATTTTTGTACGTTTTTTTTTAAACATTGAATATCCAAGACTTGCCAATATGGCTAATGCTGATGTATGTAATAGGAGTAATGTATGCAAAACAGATGCAGCTAGAATAGTTCCCTCCAAATAACCATCTATAAAAAATGAAAAAACATGGGGAGTGGGTGAGGGAGCACTGGGAGGGGCATGTACAGCTGGATGAACCAAAAAGGGTGACTTAAGTGACTTTGAATATTTCAAAGATGAGGACAAGACTCCTGAAACGCGTGTTTGTTTTTACAACCTACAGCAGAGCAACGCAAAACCAAACCGGCTGGAGTTTCAAAGATAAGAGGAAAACATGACTGCTACCATTCTAGTGTCAGCAGCAAAGCCAACAGTTTATTCATGTTGCGCACACATCTTCAAACTAAAATCTGAGTCAGAGTTAACAGCTAGAGCCAAAAGGAAATAAAAGGTGTGACAAAAGAAAGTTTAAAGAAACACATGCAGGTGAGGTCTAAAGATTGAATACATTTATTTTCACTTGATAATTTATTAGACTTTCTTCATAAAAAGGCTGACATTACAGACAGCTGAAAGCAACATCTCTTCCTGTGAAGAATCCTCAACACCTGCTTTATCATGAAATGAAGGATGAAAGAAACGTGTGGAGATGAAACAGATATAGAAACAAAAACCGTGAGGGAAAAAAAAAAATAAACAAGGAAAAGGGAGAAATGTGGAAGGGGACAATACAGTGTGAACCTTTCTTTTCACTCCAATGAAGAACACTACACTTTCTCTGGTTTATTGTGAATACAGTTAAAGATGTCCGTGTGCAACCAAACCTTCACCAAGTTGCAAGGGTCACAGGATGACAAACACTCGACAGACATTTTGAAGGTCTTTTTTTTTCGCACGTTCTTCAGTAAGTGTAGTGGTAACACAGGCGTAGAGGGACAACAGTGAGTGTTGAAGGAATGTCAGGGAGAAAGGGAAGGGTGAGGGATGTAAGATAAGTCTAATGGCCAAATTTATTTGGTTTATTTCTCATTTTCTCATTTCAGAAGGTGGTCTAATTAATTTTCACACAGGAATTTTGTGTACAAAAACCACACTGTGTTTGTTCTCTGCACTGCTCTCTGCATTCTTGCGGTCTCCTGAAATTTCCATCAAATCCTGTTTCCCCAATTTTTCTACCCTCTAGAGACTAAACCCAGACTTGCCCTTGCGATCAGTAGTGGAGGCAGATGAATCGCGCATTAGTGCCTCCTCTGATTGGACGCCATTGCTCTCATCGCCTTGCTCCTCAGTTTGTGGCTTAATGATGTGGCCTAAAATGAGAGCCAGCAGGTTGGCCTGGTCTTCCTGGCTCAGTTGCTGGTCTCCGGATGTCGGCGAGAGTTCCTGGGGTTCAGGAGGTGGTTCTGGCGGCTGCGATCTGGCAGTAACCTGAGGCTGGTCCTCTGGAGCCCCCTGGTGGTCAGAAGCCTCACTGAGCGCAGAAAGAGTCTGGCTGAGGGTTTCTGGATTGGAGAGGTTGAGGAGCTGGGCAACTTGGGGCAGGCTTAGATCAGTGTGCCCCTGCAGGAGGTTCACCAGCACCGCCATCTCTGCTGGGTTCAACTGATCCGCAGAAACACCCAGGCCTGAACACACAAAGTCATGTTCACCATATTTCTGAAACAGCTCTTATGGTTGATTGTGTTTCTGTTCAAAATGCCTGTGAGAGATTGCTGTTACCTGACAACTCGCGCTCTATATTGGCTGTGGAGGGGGGCTTTCCCTGTGGAGGTGGGGGCACTGCAGCCGGGCTGGTTTGGGCCCGGCTGTTCTCTCCGCTGGAGGTTCCTGTCACATCCTTACGTGGCACTTTGGGCACAGGCACATCACCAGGCAGCCCGCTTTGTCGAGCTCGTCGTCTCTTCTTACTCCACAGCTCATGGCAGTCTTGGTGGTGAGGAAGGCTGCAGAAAACGAATACATTAAGTCATTACAGAGCCAACATTAATTTCAGATTTGTGATGCCTCAGACAGAATTTTAAACATTCAAACACATTAAATTGAAAAGATTCACAGAGTACAGTTTTAATATTTCCCCCCACCTCTGACAACAAGAACAACATGCGCCTCAATACTACTATGTCATTTAAGATAAGAGCAGAGCTTATGGTGGACTCACTCTGGAGGTGGCATCCTGCTGGGCTCCACATCACACAGAAAGTCACTGTTAAGGGCCTGCTCTGATGTGCAGCGCCGCGCAGGGTCCAAGGTGAGCATTTGATCGAGCAGGTCCAGAGCAGAGGTCGGTAAACTGAAAGGAAGGGAACGGATTATGTAACTATGGGGACCCAGGAACAGTTAAGCACAGCTACTTTAATGAAGTGCAGGGTGTACATACACAGCAAACTCCTCCCGCAGTCGCCGTCTGTACTGTTTCTTGGGTTTCATGGTGTTGAAGAGGGGAAGTTTAATGACGTCGGGCCAGACTGCTGGGCAAGGACTCCCACACAGACGACTGAAGCGACAGAGTAGGATAGATATGCGGTCAGGGACAATGAAAAAAGAGGAACTGGGATGTGAAGAGGTGTGTTCAGCAAAGGGCAGCCTACCTGATGAGTTCCAGTTGTAGTAACTCCTGGTTAGCCTGAAAGATGGGCCTCTTGGTGAAAAGCTCTCCAAGAATACACCTGATGGAAGAAGAGAGTGGAAAGATATTAACACCTCCTTACTTCAAAAACTCTTTCTTTTGACATTAAGAGGACTGAAATAGAGTAGTCCTGTTTTACTCAGCTGTGAAAATGGACAAAAATCAGGTCCCTCCTTTCAATACATAAAAAGTCTCCCATGCATTTGCCTTCTATACTTGTAACACTTTTTGTTGTAGCATCAGCGAGCACAACATCCAAAGACTGCAGCTGATTTAATCCTTGTGACTTCAGACTCAAAGTTAAAGCCTGTATCTGTGAACTGCTAACTCCCTTTGAGACTGGCCCCTGCATGAGGTCTCCTAACAGGGCCCAGATTGTGGTTCCTCAATCTTGATGGGTCATAAATGCACAGAGCATTAGCAGTTTGGGCCCCACAGCTGTGAAACTCCCTGTCTGAGGTTGTCTCTTTTCTCTTACTTGCCTTCAACAATTCAGATTGTTTGATTTTTTTTAAGTCTTTTGTAACTTGGTTTTCGAAAAGTGCTACATGAACAAAGTTATTGTAATTATTACCTTAATCATGATCACACTTACCCACAGCTCCATACATCAATAGCAGGAGAATATCTCTCCTCTCCCAGCAGAAGTTCAGGGGGGCGGTACCATAGTGTGATTACTTTATTAGTGTATGGCCGACTGGGGGCGAGAAAAGAGAGGGGATGGTAAGACATTCACAGGGCATGATTACCCATGAGTGTACAAAGACAAACACTTCCACTTTCACTATCTGGGATTTGTGTTGGTAAACAATGTGACAGACACTACCACCTAGAGGGGAGTCGCTGTAAATTCAGGGGGAAGTCTTGAGTGTATTAAAACTTCTACGATCATCATGAAAGTGTTTTCATAGGTTTAAATGACAAAAGTTATCAGTGTAAACAATGACATTTAAGAGGTAAATATGTCATGAAAAAAATCTCTTACCTTTCCTCTGAATTGTAAAGACGGGCCAAACCAAAGTCTGCCAGTTTGATCTGACCTCTGTAAAGGGGAAAACAGATGACAAAAATATCTTAAATACTAGCTTCCATTTCAATCAAATCAGTTTGTAACTTGTGAAACACTGCAGACAATTACTACTTCTCTTTTTAGCTGGAGCATTTGTACGAGTACACATAATTGTAATTGTGTTACTCTGCTTCTCATTTCTTTATTAAATGTTCAAAGAAATACAGTGACTTGTGGTGGATTAGTAATGCCTGCTAAGGGTGCAACTTGTACCTCTTAGCAGACGTTAGTATCAACCACCTTAATACACAGTCCAACATTTACATAACCAATCATCAACCAAATAAACATCCACCTGACACTCAGAACTTTGAATGCTGATTTTGGATTGGTTAATATTAGCCTAATAAATATTTGCCTTTTCTACTCACGTTATACTGAGATGACTAGCACAAAATTTGCAGGGCTGATGAGACAAGATGAAGAGATTGCTGAGAGTTTTCTTTCTGAGCTGCACAATATTGAAAAAAAAAGTCTCTATTTTTTCCTTTACGCAATTGCAAAATCAGAAATTACAAGAATTTGTCCCAGAGAAATGTAGTGTATTTTTAGAGTTCAGTATTGATTAAAATTTTCTTAAACTCTATTACACCATCAATATCAGCATATTTTCAGCTTTAAGATTAAAGCCCTTTCTACCAACATCACATTGCCCGGCACTGGACTCATCATCTACTTTGGCATATGGTTTTCACAACACTACACTGTACATGCACCGCAGGCGTAGAAACCAGACGTTAGTTTAGCAGTCCAAGGTCTCTCCAGGTTTAAACAAGTCAAATTTAAGACTTTTTTAAGACTGTACTGAATACAATTTAAGACCCATTTAACATCCATACTGGCCAAAAAAGTATGACAGACATAAAGGAAAATCTGAACATTTTACACAACTTTAAATCAATCTTTATTTCTATGGCACGTTATTTATTTAAAAGTAACGTTGATACATTTTAAAGAAATCTTATTCAAAAGATGCAATATCCTTTTTCAACACCTTCAACATCTTATTTAAGACATTTTATGAGATTTTAAGAGAATTTTAGACATTTTAAGGCTTTAAATTCAAATCATACGATTTTAGACGTTTTCAGATTTTTTAAGACCGCTCAGACCCTGCAGTCCATACATGTTCCCTAGAAAAGCACCAAAACACTGTCCACTGTGTATGCAGAGACGCCACTCATGCATGTTTACATCTGATCATGTGACACAGACAGATGCAGACACTTCCTGTGTCTTCCTGTGTTCGATTGGGGGGGGGGGCTGCATTTAAGTGATTTCTCAGCCATTAAATGGAGATAAATTCTAGATAACAAGAAGGTTTTCAGAGCATGTCAGGTTGCAGGTGAACATTAAACATCCTGTGATTTGACTACTGTGAATACACACGTCACAAAAGTATTTAAATGATACATCATTCAGCCATAATTTCATTTGTAGGCCACCTTATGTAAAACATTTCTCCTGAAGTTGTTGCTGGAAATGGCAAATGCAGTGGATGTAGATTTATCAGCGACACAGCTCATAGTTTTTGTAGAATAGCTGAAAGATGTTGAATGGCCCCACTATGAAAATGGCACAATTCACTGCTCTCTGTAGGGCCTGTGAAATGAAGGTTGCAGATCACACTGCCTTTGCCTCATTCTGGCTTGACCAAACATGAGGAGAGTGCCAAACACAGAAAATGCAGATGCTTCTTCATTTTTACTGGCTGCCCCTAAATTCTGCTACCAAGTAAAAACTGATAATTTTGAGTCCTGCAGTCAAATATTTGCTCTTTCTGGCCGTTGCGCAAGCATTTTCATGCTCATCAAGCTCTATATCACAGAAAAAAAAAAAAAAATCATGTTTTACAGGCAGGTAACTATCAGCAGCAACTTAACCTTTGTTCTTAAGAATAAGAAGTAGTCTTGTAGACTTCATGCAAACCTGTACCAGACACCCAGCTATGTAAATGTGCAGGTTTATTGATACAAATCAGGAAATATGGTTTTCTACTAACATCTATAAAAAAGTAATGAATCCCTAAGATTATAGTTCGCATTGCACTGTGCTTGGCTGTATGTTTTTCTTATTTACAGCTGCTTTTTGACCCCTGGAAGTTTTCAGTTGATGTGAACATTGTTGGAAATATTAATATCACTTTGTAAACAGGGATCAGATGCAGTAATGTACAAAAGCAAACTGTGCAGTTAATCTGCACTATAATGGAACCATGTCATGTCATGTCCGTGGTTCCTTACCTGTTGTTGAGCAGTATGTTGGAGCATTTAATGTCTCTGTGAAGAAAGTTGTTCTTATGGCAGTAGTCCAGACCCTCCATCAGCTGGCGCATGAAACTGCGGATGTGCTCATGGGAGAATTGGACCAGGCCCGATTCCAGCAGGCCCATCAGATCATGGTCCATGTACTCAAACACCAGATAAAAAGCACCTGGAGAGAAACAGAGAAAAAACGTTTCATAAATAAGACTTGAAAATAAGATTCATTCAGAGAGTTTACTGCGAGTTCTCTGCTAAAACTGTGAAACTACTGTGCTTTGTGACTCCTGCAGGATCAGTTACGGTACAACGTTATGTGGGTTTCTCACCCGTCTAAAAGTGTCAATGAATATCAGATCAGATCGGACAGAAAAACTCTTTGCACGCTTTTCTTTGTGGATTGCAGACAAGCTGCTACAGTAGTTCATCAATGCGACTACAATGTGGTGTCTTCTCTTGAACATGTTATCTACAGGAGCTGTTGATTCTTGGTTGCTTTTCTTATCTTACATCATTTGATGCACCGGTAGTAAACAGCGCTATGCTACAATGAACGCATTCATGAAGCGCTTATATTTTGGCAAACAGTGATCCAAGTAGCTTAATTTGAAACTTATGAACAAGAACGTTAGCTTAGTTCACCCAGGAGACAGTGGAGAGACACTCATAAATTTAAGATCTAAACAATGTCATTCATTTCTGTGACACAAACACAAGTTTGTGCACAACACTAAGGCCCGAACTACACGAATGCGGATATATTTCAAACCGCACATATTTATGTCCGATTAGGCCTCCCTACCACACCAAAACAGGAGTTTGGAGCACTCAAACCGGATAAATCTGAATCCGGAAAAACAAGTGGAGAAATAAAAAAATATCTGTATCCCGTATCCGTAGTGGATTCGTGTGGTTGGACTTTTACGGATCGATGACGTCAAACCGCAGCTCGCGCATGCAAATTAAAAAGAAAAACAACAACAACGATGGCGGACAGACAGGGTATTCTTTACGTTTGTTTTGCCCTTTTGGGGCTAATTTCAGCCTTGCAAGTGAACCTTATTTTATACAATTACATCCACCAGTCAGCCAGCTCACAGACGCGTCTGCTGCGCCCGATACTTTTATTGGTCACATGGTCCGTCACATGGACCCGATGCACTATCGTAGCTTCCGCAAACAATGCATGACGCATCACGCTGTTACGATTCATCGGCCAATCAGGTAGCTTTGTTCCTGATTTTTTTTTTAAGCAGCACAAGATAGGATTGAGTTTGAAGGCTACGTGTGGACGCAGATATTTTTGAGAACTAACACGTGTGGACAGATACATTTATTTAGACGGGAGTACAAAAATATCCTGATAAATAAATATCCATATACGTGTAGTTCGGGCCTAAAAATAAACACAAAAAACATGGCAAACTGCTGTTAAATCAAACTCAACAGGTTGAGCACATCAAAAATAACTGCATATATACCAGGAAATGAAACGCATAGTTCGGTCTGTGTGTACTGAGATTCCCCTTTTTACTTTATTACTTACTACCACTTCTTTAAATTTGTTTCACAGCCATCTAGATCTCATGAGTTACCTCCTCTAGTTGAAAAATCTGAAGAATCACATCTCTTTACTATTTCTCAATATTACTCAGACCCTCTTACCTTTGTCCTTTTTGAAATCTAGGGCATCTTGCTTGTCAGTGACAATCTCCTTCATGTTAACAACACTACGGTGTTTGAGCTGCCGCAAGATCTTGATCTCACGGATGGCTGTGATGGGAAAACCCTCCTTTTCATTGTCCAAACGCACTTTCTTCAGAGCAACTAGTTCACCTGGGAAGTTCAAAAGAGAACCCGTTATATTTGTATTCACTCTTCGCTTGTTTAAGCACCAAATACTTGTGAGAACTATCACGATGGAAGTCACTTACCAGTGTCTTTGTCCTTGGCCTTGTACACTTGGCCATAGGTACCTTCTCCTATGATGCCAATTATATCAAATTTATCTACACAGCGTTTGCCCCAATCACTCAGGTTGTGTTTGCGCTCACCGTATCGCGGGCAGCAAATCCTGGAAATCATAAAAACAGTTGAAAAAATCTAATCTGTAGAATTCAAAAAGTATGACTGAGTGAATGAGACAATAAACTGACTTTGGTCTCTTCTTCAGGACTGTCTGGGGCAGCATTGGGGGCTGACGGATGGGTGACTGGGGAGGTGAAGCATCTCCTCCGAGCAGGGTAGGCGGTAATGGGAGGTCAATGAGTGACGTCCGACTGCGAACTTCCTTTTCCTTTCTAGGTAGTTTCTGAGGTGGGGTGGACTTCTTTGGACTGAGGATGCAAAAGAAAAAGAAAACCGTTTATATTCTGTATCAAACTAATTAGTGCAAGAGGTAAGGCATGGATTCCAGGTTAACTTTCTGACTGTAATGTTCAACCTTAAATGTGAAGGGAACTCTCGAACGATTTGAAATCAAAGTTTTCAGGCAACTTGAAGAGTTCATGTTCTTCAAGCCAAAACAGTGAAAATTTGCAAATAAAATAAATACACTTGACTATACACATTAACTCTGATACAAAAAAGTCTGTTAGTGCATCTAAATGTTAACATGAGGAAAAATGGAGAACATTTCCACGTAAATTCCTGCTACAGAGGTAGCTGCTGCTTAAAAATGTGAAATGTTGTACCACGGATGTAAAGACAACAATACGGAGAAGTTCAGGTTTTCTCCTGCAGGATAGAGAGAGATGAGCATGTATTGAATGAGTGGTGTTAGTTGTACTCGTTCTCTTCTCTTTCCCTTGAGATGGGTCTCACCTGTTTTGGGCGTTCCCCAGCAATGCAGGTGGTAAAGGCAGGGGAGGCAGAGTCGATGTTTTGTGCAGCGGCGTTGGGCGAAGGGGGCTGCGTGCAGGGAGTGGGGCTGGAGATTTGGCCTGGGATGTGGTCAAGGGTGTCGGAGGATGAATACTTGTTTCTGTCTGAGGTGGTGGTGGTGGTGGAGCTTGTGTGACTGGACCGGGTGGCACAGATGGAGAGGGCTGAGGAGGAAGAGGTGCAGGAGAGGAGGTGGAAGAGGAAGGTGGAGGAGCAGTTGCCTCGTCTTCTACATTAGGATCATCCTGGGGTAATGGCGCAGGAGGGGGTGGAGGGGGTTCTTCAACTGATGCTGCCTCTCTGTCTGGTTGTGGAGCCTCTGTTTTGGGAGGCCGCACAGAGGAGAGGCCTGGAGGTTTACGTGCCGAGGGTAGGGGGGAAGCACCACCACTGGCACGGGCTGCAGCCTCAGCAGCCTGCCGTTCTTTCTTCCTTCTTGTAAGCTCGGCACCCAGGCTGGAGTTCAGAGGCAGGCGAGTGGAGGGAGGAGAGCGGCTTGTAGGTCGACTGCTGTGGGAGCTGCCCCCCACTCCAGCAGAGGAGGCATGCCTCTTGTTTCGGGAACGAGAGGAAGAGCGACGAGAAGATGAGTACTGCAGAGGAGAGCGACTCCTGGAGCGGCCAGAACGCCTAAGAGGGAAAATACTTTCACTTATAAAAAGCAGAAACAATGCCAGAAACAACATCAAGTTAGCAAATTCTTCTGGAGATCAGAGACATGGATAAAATATGTAACATGATTATTGAATATCTTCAAACAAGCATAAGAATAGGTCATAAACTGTAGCCATCTTTTGACCATATCAGATCCCAAATAGTTTTTAGAAAAAAAAACATCTGGGGTCTTTGATTTGGAGGACAGTGAGTTTGGCATAATACACATAAAATTGGTAACAAAGTAAAACCATGACCTTAAAAACTGAATAACATGCTGGATCTCAAACTTTTGTTTTCTTCTAAGAAGCAGCTTGTGCATTTTTTTTATTTAAATTTATTTTGACTCCATTCCAACCCCAGATATGCACTACTATTTTCCTCAAATTGAAGACAAGGAATACTGTATTTTTCGCACTATAAGGTGCACCTGATCATAAGGGGCACCATCAATGAACGCGTCTATTTTCATACATTAAGGCACACCAGATTATAAAGCGCATTAAGCCAAACAAAACAGTCAGATAAGTCAAACTTTATTTAACTCATTCAATAACTCTGCAAGGCTACGGTAGCTGCAGTGCTCTGACAAGCCATAAGGATTTTAAGTGCGCCTTATAGTGCGAAATATACGGTATTTTTAAAATCTATAAATGCAGTAGAGACATTTCCTGACAGCTGAAGGTTTTGTTGATTATGACCAGTAAAGTAGTAAGAAGTGGTCACCAGGTATGACTTTATTTCCTTAACCCAGCATACAAACTGATAATCATGAACATGAAAGAACTATCTTATTGTCGATTAGGCAAGTCCTCTCACCACCAGATTTCCAGGCTTTCTGTGGTTGTTTTTACATTTTTAAAAAATGGCTTTGAGCTGTGTGACTGAAAAATAATCAGTACAATGGTCTCAGATACTAGCATGACAGGAGCAGACCCATACCTCTTTTGCTGTGCCCTAACCTCTTTGCAGAAACCAAAGGCCATGGTTGAATATATATGTATATATATATATTCTGAAGGTAAGTATTCATATCAGCTGACTGTCTTGTCATCACTCACATCCATTAACTTTCTCACCCTTGAGCTTTGGTCAGTACCATGACAAGAAAGGTTCATCATAAACATCCTTCCCCCCTACAATCAATATCTTGCTGTATAGAGAATAGCTTAGCAAGCTCAACAGGTCTGCCTGGCTTCCAGTTCAACTGCAAGCAGCTACTGTTTGGGTTTTTTTAGATGCTATGCAAATGCCGCAAAGGATGGCTGTGTGGGTAAGTTAGTATGTGCTCTCTCAAACACTCATCTTGCCCTGTGAAAAGACACATTTTCCCTCTCAACACATGTGGTGGTAATGAGCTACAACTCTTAAGACCGTTTACCCTTAAGGGGTCTCCAAACATTTTCAGCATACACTCACCGAGACATGGGGCTGGTGCTGGAGGATCTGCGAGTACCATAGGGGCTGATGGAGCGTCTCCTTGAGTAAGGGCTGCTGTCCCTCTCATAGCTGGAGGATCTGTGTCTGCTGCCATAGGGGCTATCTGATCTTTGTCTGCTGCGAGACATGTCTCTGTAGGGACTGGGGCTCTGCTGGGCCACCCTTCGCCTGGAGTAGCCATCATCCCCTTGCTGCCCATACCCACTGCCCTGTGGACTCTCGCTGCCAGCCCCTCTTCTGGGACTAGGTGAAAGAGCAGAGCTTGTGCCCTTCCTGCGAGGGCTACCCCTACTAGAAGACTTGCCCTTAGGGCTTGACTTGTGGCTCTTGGAGGATTTGCGGTGGCTCCCGTCTGCTCGGACCCTCTGAGAGGAGCTTCGGCTGCCCTCTCCTCTGCCCTCTCTGCGCTGTTGCTTGTCTTTGCGAGACTTCCCTGAGCGGCTGCTTTCCTTACTGCGAGATGAGGATGTGGAGGAGGTGGTGCTACCTACACTGGCCCCAGGTTGTAGCTGGGAGGACAGCATCAGTTCCCCACGTTTAGACTCTACCTCGGGCTGGACCTGACGTTTGGTTGATGGGCCGGAGGATGTTGCCTTCTCCTTGCTTTTTCCAGAACTTCCTTTCTCGCGGTCTTTGCTGCTCTTTTTCTTGTACCCACGTTCCCCATTTCCAGGATCTCTAACTTTGTTTGGGTCCTTGGGTTTTTTGCGGGACTGCCTGTGCCCCCTGTTTTGTCTGCTTTCAGTTTGTCTGCTGAGATCTTCCCTGTCGCAGTCTGGTGAGGGCTCCAGTCGGTACGCGACAGCCCTGTCAGAGGGCCTGGAGGATGGTGGGTCCGAGAAAGTGTCCGAGTCCGAGCTGATATCATCGTACTCAACCAGAGGCTTCACCGTGTTGACACCAGGTGGCGCCGTGTCGCCTAGGGTAAAATATTCTGGTCCCGGTGTCGCCAAGGATCCCCTATTATGTTTGGTTGATTTATGCCGCTTACGTTTTGTGGAGGAAGAGGACATTGAAGATTTTAACTGCACTTTGCCGTCTTTGCTTGCCTTTTCTCCCACAGAGGTATGAGTTTGGGCCTGGGTTTGGTGTAGCATACCACTGTTGCTAGATTCTGGCTTCCTCTTGGTCCCATGGTGTCGGTCCGACCCAGGCATCCCTCACGCCGGCGACGATACCTCTCCTGTAACTGGGCCTCTGTGGTCCAGGCAATTCATTCACAAGAGACCATCAACTATCACAAATACTCAAAACAAATGTGCCACTAAGCAGTAACAGAGTAAACTATTACACAGAATGAACAAACTAGGCCGCTCACGTCCAGTCCTCTTCAATACCAGTCCACTCCACTGAGATCGTCAGTTTGGTTCATCAAAGCAGAAAAATGCCAAGGTGGTTTATCAGCGCTGTGAAGTGTTGTACCTCAAAATAGCCAGGGAATGAAAAAGATCCCGACAAAACATCGGAACATTGTGGTGTCGCCTCCGTCTCAGTTTAGCTAGCGCCGCTAGCTAATGCTCGGCGGCTAGCGAGCTGACTCGTAAAAAAGAAAAAGTCCCTTTGTGAAAGGTGTCCTTGTCCGGTGCCAAGTTAAGTAAAGGTGCTTTTATTCCACAAAATTACGGTCTAAGCGTTCAGAAACAAGCAGTGCCTTCATTAAAAGAAGCTCGTTTCTCGAACAAAATGAAAACTTGACCCGGTTGGTACTGTTCACATATTCCCTTCAATGTTAGTTTTATCCCCTATAATTTCAGTATTGATAAGAAATCATAGTATTTTCGTGTGCAGTAGATGTTCCAGTTTATTATCAATGGCTCTGGGAATCAACCAGGCCTATATTTAGGGCGATGCTAGTGGATTTAATATCATCCACAGCCCTATCTGAAGGACATTACAAACGCCATTGTGGCTCCTGTAACTAGCAACTTCTGCGCACAGCAGACTGAACCGGAAACCGGAACACTGTCAATCTCAGCTAAATGTTAGCAATAACCTATCAAAACAGACGTCCCGCCTACTGCCAGTGAGCTAGCGCGCGTGCCACAGAAAATGATAGATACAGTTTTGTTCATTTTGTAGCAAAAGTTCTTCAAGATTTTCGAGTTATCATAACAGATATGAAACCAAACCTCAATAAACTTCTTACTGAGAATAGAAGAGTCAAATATTAATCTATACTTCCTGACAGTTTGACGAATTACTGCTTATACAACCAGGCAAAAAGGTAAGAAAGGCATCCCACCTTATTATAAATACTGTCAAACTAAATCGTGGCCAGCAGGAAAGTCTCACATAGACAGGGCGAATAAAATCAGAATCAGCTTTATCGGTCATGCATGTGTAAACATACAAGGGAATTGACTACTGGACGGTTTTTACGAGCATTATGAAATTACACATTATGTACCAATTGTATATAAAAGGTGGCAGAACAACTTGTCAATCGTGTAGATTCAATTCCATAAAAATATTAAAATTAAAAAAGTCAAAATGAATAGTTAGAAAAAGCAAATGTTTGGATGTCAAATGAGTAAGTAGACCTACTAATACAGAATTTACCACAGTTTTTTACAAAAAGCCCTCTGTAAATGGTTGTTCTATAAAAGGTCATTCACACAGGAGAAAACATACAATTTTACAGGGGTCTGACAAATAACGGACACTCCATGAAAGACATCCCGTCAAGTTTTTTATAATTGTGAAATCTTAGACGAGACAGTTAACATGTTGTCATGCGTGCTACCAGTGTGATTACGCAATATGATGAGTGCTCACCGTGGATGCTGATTGGGTCCGCTGTCTATGTGGGCGCGGCCAACGTGAAAGGCGGAAGTGGTGTTTCGTATAGGATTTACTGAGTTGTAGTGTATTTTTGATAATTGAAATGGCCATTTGAGTGAAATATAGCCAGTAGTTATTTGATGTTATGCCATCAAATGTCCAAACCCTTAGCCTATGTAAACATTGTAGTAAACGAATCGTATTGTGACAAAAAATGATCTGACCCACTGTAAGGTCTGGGCCTTAAAGTGGAAATCTAATGACATTAACAGTGTCCAGGTGCATGTACTACAGGGGGCTTGTTGATTGATGGCCTTCCACAGTTTTATAGGGTCTGGTACCTGATCATCCTTTTCTTTATGTAGAACTGCTCGATTACCACGGATCAAACCAATATATGTATATATATATATAAAAAAAAAAAACATATATTTTTAGACTACCCACTCCCTCACAGCAAGTTTTATTGAGCTGTCAAAAACCTAGAATATCAGTTGAAACACTTTACTCCTGAGCTTGCAGGCTGCCTGGTCTACAGAATACGTTGAAGTTAAATGATCATCCAACAAATAAGACAGGACAACAGTTTGCTCTCAGGCAATACATGCTTTAGCTTATACTTATAATTTCCAATGATGTAGGTGTAGTACCAGCTCCATTTTGGGCTGCCGGGTCCTATTCCTGTCGGTCTATTGTGTGGATGGATGGAAAGCTGTATAGGGGGAGGAGGAGGTGAGGGCGAACCGAACAGATAAGAGAACTGGCTTATTTGCTCGCCGCTGCCTGTAGCCCATATTTTACAAGAGTCAACCTAGGGGTCTTGTCGTCTGTGTTACAGGCCAAAGACAACGATATCACAGCTCGGGAGCTACCGAGAGGACGGTAGCATGATAGTCGTGGAAAGGAAGAAACGGACGGAAGAGGGCCCGTATCTGAATTTTACTTTGCCTTCGCCGAATTCATTGAGTCGGTAACCAGCGTCCGACATGGGGAAGGAGGTAAACGGTGTTTCGCGGAGTCGGTTTGAGGTGAGTCGACCATCAGTGTTAACTGACAGCTATTGACTCATTTTTAGTGTAGCTTTAAAAGATATTATGGTAAGGGCCTACATCACCACTGTCGCTGTCTATAATAAAAACTGCGCTTATATTGAGGTTGTTGATGCAGCTCTTCCGCAGTCAATGTTTGGGATTAGGTCAAACGCTGTTGTTTTGTTCTTACAACCTATAGCCTAGGCCTGACTCGTTATTCAGTGAAGGAAACAGCTCGTCATGTTACACACAGCCTGTCGTGATGTTTAATTGTAAATGGAGATACTTATAGGTCCTGATATGTTGTTCTCCTTCTCATATGCGCCGTCAAAACAAAGACACCGAGGCTAACGTTACAGAGCACGTCGAGGACAGCCCCACCGCCGCACATTCGCATATTTCTCAGGATAGGAACTTGTTGACTATTATTCCGATAGTATAGCTCGCTATATTTCAATGGGATGACATATTTTAATACTTTTGTTGGCTTATCTGCCGCGTTGGATAATATCAATGCATGGCCGCTGCGCTTGAGGGGGCCTTGGGTTGTGACTACATGCACCCCGTGTTAGCACAGAACTTTGAACAAATAGGCCGAAGCTACTACGGTGTAACACACGCCACAACCCACGGGATAATGATAGGATAGGAGCAGCGTGTGGACGCACATATTCTGCAGTGTAGGTCTACATGATATGCTATTTACTTTGTTTATTCGCCGTAAGCATAGCTAGATATTTTTTGTGAAAACTTGTCTTGGAATACCATGTATCCGGTCAGTGACATTGGGCTGTGCAGCCTGAGCACTTGGTGTTGTTTAATCCCCAGCTAGCGTGGGATTTGTGTCTGGTTTTATTTATTTTTAACGGTGCAACAGCTGACGACTCAGAAGATTCAGCCGTTACCTTCTGGCCCGACAGCTGCGGTCGAGCTGCCTGTCAAGTTAGTTCTATGGCGAAAACGAAAACAGCGGAAATGGCACGACCCCGCCTTCAGAATAAAGTTAACGCGCATGTCAGAGCTCATATCGGGAAGACCTATTTTTGCGAAGTGACAGGCTTCCTACAATTGATGAATGAGAAAGGACGTAATGTTGTCTTATAATTCAAGATTCCTTATGTGGTGGTTAGTGTTGGTTAAAAACATTTTTTATCATTATCATATACTGGAGTCATAAAGTGACGAGAATTCATTAGAAATGACCTATTTATTTGCTCATCTGTAATGGTTTATTTGTTTGTCATCCGATATTCCTCTTAAATGACATATTACAGTTGAAAACAGTTGCCTTGTTGGATACTTGATATTTGAAGATGATATAAGCAACTTCTGTAAGTATAATTTTCTGCAAGACTTTTATTTTGATAGGCCTTACCGGAAATCACCTCTTAGGTTTGTTTTGACTCCACTGCTCTGCGGTAGATACTGATCTGTTGTATACCAGCCCGAGACAAAAGACTACAGCAGTGGGAAAAGAAGAGAAATAATAATGAAGCCCAACTCTTTTTCACATGAAAGGAATATGTAAATTATGACTTTTAAGATGATTGATTGTCAATTTAATTATTTATAATTGGGTGTATGGCTGTAAAATATGTATAAGCAAAAGGCGAAAACCTATAACCAATGAAGTGCAGTCTTTACTGCTGGCTTGTCCCTCTGGGTATTTGATTAATCACTTGTCCTTAAACACATCCACGTTTGCAACGAAGGATAGACTGAGTATCTGAGCCCAATCAAGCCATCTGTTTGATGTCAGTTCTTTATGTGTATCTCAGTTTAATGTCTTACTGATCTAAGTCAATCAAAGGTTAGGGTCTTTCAAGGACCAACATGAAACAGTTTTTCTAAAAATAATATCCCATATTGTTTGCTTTACAATGATCTCTAGCTTGAGGTTACAGCTCACCCAGCTTTTACCTCCTGCCAGGCCTGCTTCACTGGCTATAGCTGACCAGTGGAGAAAACATAATGCTCACATTCATGCAGCATCAGGTTCATTTCATGTTAGAGTACAAAAGGGGACAGTGTATGCCCGTCGACCATGCGCATCTGGTTCTTTGGAAATGGCTCTGGATTATTTGGCCTGAGAGTTGTGCTGTTGAAGGCGAGCTGTCAGAGTCAATTTGCCCCAAATCCAAATGCGAAAATGTCTGTCCCTTCTTACTCCTTCAAAATTTTACACGTCTGCGCTGGCAGGCAGTCCCTGAATAGACAGCTGTGTGTGTGTGTGTGTGTGTGTGTGTGTGTGTGTGTGTGTGTGTGTGTGTGTGTGTGTGTGTGTGTGTGTGTGTGTGTGTGTGTGTGTGTGTGTGTGTGTGTGGGTGGGTGTGTGTGTGTGTGTGTGTGTGTGTGTAGAGGTTGTATGTTTATCAAAGGGACACAGAGAAGCTTTGACCAAGAGCTGACTAGAATTTTAAACAGGTAAATCTGACAGTTTTCTTTTGTTTTGTTTTTTTTTTGTTTGTTTTTTTTGTGAACTGCTGATGTTTTCTTAAATGTATACGTAAGTCCAACAAAATAAGTCACTATCACAAATGTTGCTAGCTGTGACAACCACAATTTTATTGGGCCGGAGTATACTCTGTCAGGACCACTTATTGCTTCTTTTATTAATAATAAGCAAATTAGCATTTTAGTTACTTTGAATCATGAATGCTACACATTTGTACAGAAGTGCAGATAAGGACTTGCAGATCACATGTTGGTCTCGTCACAGACTTTTTATGCGCACACTGAAGCCCCCACCCCTTGATTACCCCTTCCCAGGGTTAGATTTATCTTCCTAAATCTGTGGAAGAAAAAGGATTGGGCCAGATGTTGCTTCACCCATCTTGTTGTGACTGCATGACTCCTGTTATTTATCATTGTCTTGACATGTATGATTTTCAAGACGTTATGGACAACACAGGCCCTGAATAACTGGGGGGTGTCTGTATCTAAGTAGCTTTATAAAGTCTCATGTACTGTCTCTTTGTGCACTGAGGCCACTTCTGTGGATTATAGGCCAGTGTCTGTGCTCACAAGTCATGCAATTATTTCTGTGAAATGCATTAGCTGTTCACAGAAGCGGGGGTGGATTTTTTGGAGAGTCACAGAAGATATGTTGTAACTGACTGCAACAATCTTTACCCTAGCACATGCTAGTGTAAACAAACTAACCGTGTAAACAGCCTCTGAAAAACATATGTGAAGAGCAGATATCACAATAGTAGAGGCCATTGCAGTTCTGAAGTCCCTACAAAGTCCCATCCAGCTGATTACTTTCACAAAACACAAAATTCAGTCCGATGTGCTGCTTTGTCTTCTGTCCCCCTTTGTGTTTTCCAAGACCTGACTGAATCAATCTCAGATTAGCAGATTATCATAATTTGTCCTTGCTTCATTATTGGGGCTGTCCTTGACTTAGGTTAGTAGTCAACGGAACCCCCCATCCATCTTACAACAGCCTGCAAAAACTAATATTATCCCTCTGTTCTTTTTCAGATGTTCACAAACAGCGATGAGGCAGTCATCAATAAGAAGCTGCCTAAGGAGCTTTTGCTACGGTGAGTGACATTTCAAAACACTTCGCTCAGACCGTCTGCTGGTTTATACTTCACAAGCAAGGCTGGCATGTTGCCCTACTGCACACTCCTTTCATTTGCCCATGATCAGCACATCCAATCATACACAGAAGCACCGCTGGCCTTGCTCCACCCTTCTCCCTCTCCAGCCCTCAGACACAGACACATATCCAGACTGTCCATCTCACAGTCCTAGTGACTACTGTATGCTTGCCATAATACAAACATTTGAACTTACTAACCACCAGGATGCCAGCATCCCCTTCCTCTCCACCCTTCTCTGCTTCCTTGATGCTAGGACTGTAATTAAATACAGATGCCTGAAGCAAGAAAGCAATCACATTGATTGAGGTTAAAAAAACAAACACAGAAGCCCTTGAGCAAACAGAAAATGAAGGTCATAACTCAAGCTTTGGCCTCGCTAGCCAAGTCGCCTCCTCTGTGGCTGCTGACTCTGTACAGCCTGGCTGTGTTCAGCGCTCTGATTTGTGAGGCTGGCAGGCTGTGCTGGGAGCTACTGTGTCCCCACTCCAGTCCTAACTTAGCTTTTTGCTTTATTAAGGCTAATCTGGTAAGTTTACAGCTCTGCTCTTTGGAAAACAGATCATGTGTCTTCTCTACCAGGATCCCACTTTGAGTAAACACGACTATCCATCCGACTGACATCCTAGGACAATATTAGCTGTTTTGCTTGTGCAGGGAAGCAGATGCAGGGCTGAGTCAAGGGGGCGGGTCTAGTGTTAAGAGAAAGCTTCTGGTAGTGAGGATCAGGGTCTCTGAACCAAACCATCCCTGTCTTTCTTCCAGAATCTTCTCCTTTCTGGATGTGGTGACACTCTGTCGCTGTGCCCAGGTCTCACGGGTGAGTCTGTGTTCACAAGGTGTGTGTATGCATGTGTGTGTGACTGTTCCTGTTTGTCTCTGTGTTTATAAGTGTGTGTTCTCAATGTGGTTGTTGTATGACACAAAAAGCCATGACCCTTAATGTCATTTTCTCCCTCTCTGCTCTCAGTCCTGGAACGTACTGGCCTTGGATGGCAGCAACTGGCAACGGATTGACCTCTTTGACTTTCAGAGGGATATTGAGGTGAGAAAATCTAATCACATTTTACTCTACTCTTGCCTGTAGCTTAAATATTTGATGGGAGCAGAGGACACAATCTGACAGACTTGAGTTCTTTCTTTTTCTTTTTTTGCAGGGCCGGGTGGTGGAGAACATCTCAAAGCGATGTGGAGGGTTCCTTAGGAAGCTGAGCCTACGAGGTTGCCTGGGTGTTGGTGACAGTGCCCTGAGGTGAGTTTGGCAAGACTTAGCCTGACAGCAAATCGATTTTAGATCCAGGTGAGGCTGAGCTTTGACTACCACCACATAAATATTAATGTCTTTTTCCTGCAGGACTTTCTCGCAGAACTGCAGAAACATTGAGCTGCTTAGTCTAAATGGCTGCACCAAGATCACAGACAGGTATGTGCACTGTTCCTTTCAATACAGATGCAACAGAAGACCTTTTCCTCTTCGCTAAAGCACTTATTGTCTCTCTCCTCTCAGCACATGTAATAGCCTCAGTAAGTTCTGTCCAAAGCTGAAGCACCTGGACCTTGCCTCCTGTACCTCAATCACAAACCTGTCGCTCAAAGCTCTCAGGTGTGTGAGCTTAAATCTGTCAATTTCCTTCTCTAAACATTCATAATCGTAGAAATGTTTACAGTCACATGATAATGTACAGTACATCAGGGCAGTTCTCCAGTTCTGGGTTCTTTTCATTCTCTCTCCCCCCATTGCTGATTTTAACTTCTTGTTGTCTGCCCACCTCTTGTCATGTCCTTTTTCTTATTTCCTGCTGTCAGTGAGGGTTGTCCCCTGCTAGAGCAGCTCAACATCTCCTGGTGTGATCAAGTCACAAAGGATGGCATCCAGGCCCTGGTGCGTTCATGCCCTGGACTGAAAGGCCTTTTTCTCAAGGGATGCACACAGGTACAGCTTGTGACTTGGTAGTTCCAGTTTAGCTCTTGCTGCAACTGCAAAATAAAGCAGACCAAACACACTTTAAAGAAGCTCATCAAGGGCCATCCTGTTATGTTAACAGTCAAAAGTGCAGTGTGTAAGAAGCAGGAGGATTCACAGGTCAGCAATTCAAATACAGGAGTACGGAAGCATTCACTTACAGGAAGAAAAAAAAAAAGGAAACTGTTTTTTTTTTCTTTGCTGTTTTTCTGACTAATTTTTTTTTTCTGTGTTTCGGGCTAAATCTTTTTTTCTGTTTTTTTGTACTAAATTTTTTTTCCCCCTCTTCTGTTTTTCTGACAAATTTTTGTTGTTTTTTTTATTTTTTTTTCTTTTTTCTGTTTTTTGGACTAATTTTTTTCTTCAGTTTTTTTTTTACCCATATTTTTTCCCCTTTTTCTGTTGTTTGTACAAAATTTTATTCTGTTTTTTGTACCATTTATTTTCATCTTTCTATTTTTCTGACTATTTTTTTTCCCTGACTAAACGAGATACTTCAAAATCCTGCGAGAATCTCAAACAATCTGATAACTTTAACCACTGCTGCTGCTCCAGATCAGGGGATTCTCCAGCTCCTAGATAGCTGCGACTACGGGGTCAATGAGAGTGAATCCTGAAGTGCCTGCGCAAAGTAGAAAAATTTACAATGATTCCGTCTATTGACTTCAAGAAAGGAGTATCTCTTAGTGAATCAAACCCAAAAGAAAATAAAACTTGATTAAACTAAACAAGTGGGCCATGTTTGCTTCCAATAAATCAAGCAGAGGGGGATGAAAGTGTCTGTTTTGAAATGATCAGGATCCCAATGAATAGAAAAAACAATTAGTCTAAAAAACAAACAAACAAAAATTAGTGTGAAAAACAGAAAAGAAAAAAAAAATTGTATGAAAACTGAACAGAAAAAATTACTCTAAAAAACAGAGCTTTTTTTTTTTGGTGAATGCAATAGGCTTCTGTACAGGAGCACAGCAAACCTCTCAGTAATAATGATATCAGTGAAATCTTGTTATTTAAGAGGCTGCAAACTGTTTTTCAATGCTTGTTCATTGTATGTCTAGTAGATTACATTTAGAACGACACTTCATTTTTCAATTTAGGAAAAGAGTTGTTTTTTTTTGCAATCAAGCTGAGTTTGTCAAAAAGTACAAGTATTTAGACAGTCGAATTAAGTTGAACATAAAACCGTGTTTTCACTTCTGTAAAGGCTTGTCTCCATCTCTTCCACAGCTAGAGGATGAGGCTCTAAAGCATATCGGGGCTCACTGTCCAGAGCTGGTCACACTCAACTTGCAAACATGCTCAGTAAGTAATACTGTCAAAGTCTAGAGAAAGAACAATATGATTGTTTTGGAATTGCAGTGAAACTCTGTCAGCGTATTTTCCTTTGTGAATGAAAACTTTATTTGTGATTATTTTTCTACACTATAGAATCATTAAAATATTTGCCGATGGGCTTTAAGTACATAATTCAAACCCATTTATTTTGTCTACTTCTTCTTCACAGTGTTTCTCTAGCCACCTTTAAAAAAGAAAAGATACTTGAAGACATATCTCTAATACACTCAGGTGCAAGGTGTGAATCTCTTTCAGCTTTTGCATTGATAACTTTGTATGCAAAACTGCAACTCAATCTAGGAAGAGTCGCCATGTTTCCACAGCATGATGAATTTATGAAATATTAGTTTAATACTGCACATACAATTCTTTTTTTGTGCATATTTTATAGCATTTTCACCATGTGTACATCCACCAGTATATAACACAAATATAAACTCATAAAGCTGTACACTACAAGATTTTAAACAAAAACATAAATATAAATTCATACAATACACTTGTGCTTACAAGAATTTGCAGAACAAAGATTTGTCATAAACCAACAACAATGCTAAGCCAGAGACACGTTCATGGAGTGATATAGATAAGTGACAATTTCAGAATATTTTAGGCCTGACTTTTGCTACAGGCTCCCTGTTTTGTTTTGTTTTGTTTTTTTCCTTTCAGTATGTCCCTTACATGCACATACAATTCTAACCTCTCTCTGTCTCTCTCTCCCTTTCCTTGAGCAGCAGATCACAGACGAGGGCCTCATTACAATTTGCAGAGGTTGTCACCGCCTGCAGTCTCTATGTGTGTCCGGCTGTGCCAATATAACAGACGCCATCTTGCATGCGCTGGGACAAAACTGCCCTCGCCTCAGGTAAGTTCAGATGCATGCACACTTGCACTCCAAACTCAACCATACACTACTTTCCTTAACCCCAACAGAACCTCAAACTCCAAAAACCCTCTAGTTAGACTACGAATTAATCCCAAGACCTTATCTGTTTTACTGAACATTAATTTGAGCCATTATCCACCTCACTATGTGGAGTGATCCCACCTTGATGCCATAATTTAACCTACCGACAAGAGTATTCTGGAATTTTGGATGAATGATTGTATGCCTTGACTTTGAGGACCCACTCTACTGAGCAGACCTAAGGTGACATTATTTCTCAGTTTGTTTGAAGCGGTCATCCCGTTTTGTATTTTGTCTTTGTTGAACACATGAATACACAAAAAATCATATTAACAGTATGTACATATAATAAAACCCCAAGAAAAAAATATATTCACATGAAAATAAAAATGTACCTCCTGGTGTAATCGCTTTTATTTTGAAAGGCTTCAAACAACTTCTGGTCCTCTCAGTGGAGGTCTGCAGCTGGGCTGTCTTGTTGAATTTGGGCACTGTTTTGAGGTGGTTGAAAAAATATAAGATAAAGTGGTTTGCATGAAAGAGTTTTGAAGTCTTTGCATAACAGTTGTAGGTTCATTTACTATCCTGCTTGTTTTAAAGGAATAAAGAGGACTTTCTGCATAGATGTTATTCCTGTCGATTCACATGAATCCTGAAAGAGACAGACTGATGGTATCATTGCTAAACTCTTTGCTCATCTCGTTCTCTCTTCAGAATATTAGAAGTGGCTCGGTGCTCTCAGCTTACAGACGTTGGCTTCACTACATTAGCAAGAGTGAGTGTGGCATCTGGCCTTGTTTGCATGCAACCATTCATGACTTCAATATTTGAAATGTTGTCCTTAAAAGTTCACATCTCCCCAAACCCACATTGGAGTGTACAGTTCCTCTCTTATTGCTGTGTCTTTCTCTGCTGCAGAACTGTCATGAGCTTGAGAAGATGGATTTAGAGGAGTGTGTGCAGGTGAATAACCAATCCAAGCTACACATATCCTAGCTGTTGTTTTGAGTCTGCAGTTGTGACAGTTTTTGTCTTTTTTTAAAATTTCATCAGATCACAGATGGAACTCTTATCCAGCTGTCTATCCACTGCCCTCGTTTGCAAGTCCTGGTGAGTGTGTGCCTGTCAGCTTCACATACTTGCTCCAATAGCTTTTACACGCAACAAATCACATCTTATCAGGCAGACAGTTGAGTGATGGAGCTTCCTCGTTCCACTGTGTTCATTTAGAGTCTGTCTCACTGTGAGCTGATCACCGATGATGGTATCAGACACCTGGGAAGTGGTCCCTGTGCTCACGACCGTCTGGAGGTGATCGAGCTGGACAACTGCCCCCTGATCACAGACGCTTCACTGGAGCACCTGAAAAGCTGCCATAGTCTGGATCGCATCGAGCTCTACGACTGCCAGCAGATCACGCGCGCTGGCATCAAGAGACTAAGGGTGAGTTGTGTGGGCAAACAACAGTGACTCACATATTCATATGAAGTGTTGACTCAGTATATGCTGGTGCCTTTGTTTGAAATCAATGACATGATTAAACACATTTTAGCCTCTGAGATCGGAGATAAAACCAGAGAGAAAATCCACTATGTTTGTAAGTTAAGGTCTCAAAAATGCAGTTAGGTGACCAAAGAATAAGAAATACTTGAAAGACCATCTTTGAACCCTCTTTTTCTGAAACATCAGATTGTATTTCAGGATAGATGTGTATGACTTCTTCAAAGACCCACTCTGATGAAAATCATGTTATTCTTATTGTCCACATGTTCATATGGCATTTTTCTGATGCTACAGGACATATCAGGAAAAAACTAAGTGTGAAATCTCATTTCTGAGTATTTCTGCATTCAAATCAATTTGAATATCTGGCAGACCCAAACGGCAGATTTCGATACAGTGAGATTTCCTACATAGCAAATCCAAGCTCCGCCCCCGGAGCCCCGCCAGACTCAGAAAAATAGAGAGGACAATTGCAGAACAAGCATGTGCGTTACCGGATTGCAATACTTGTAAGACAGATAATAATCTTATTAACCTTCATCATGTCCCTAAAGACATTAGTGTCTCAGAGCTGGATAGCTCCTATGTTACCTGTCACTTCTACTACACCGGCAATGTTCGGCTGCAAGCTAGCATGAAGAGGAGTGTGCAGAGCAGCGCTGTTGCCGCCTACGACTCAGAGGTGAATTGCTAATGAGCTACTGGAGCTCTGCAGAAGAGAAGCCCTTGAAAATGACACATGTAACATGACTTTGGCTAAAAACTTCGGAGTGGGACTTTACAGATGATTTTAATTAGTAATCTCAAAGAAAAGTCAGTCTTTTCTCAGTTCATAAAAACAGCATGGTGTTGGCTCTGCTGCTTATTGCTCAATGTTGTCTAACAGTCATATTTATGTAAGAGTTTTGGCCGGTGCTTTTCAGCCTGTAGCTCTCAGTAGTAGTCATGAGAGCAGTGCTTTAGTCGACAAGGAAGAAGTGTTAAAGAGAGCTAATGTAAAAGCAAAACACTACATGAGGTACAGACTATACAGTCACATACGCTGGGGCATGTTCTTTTTACCAAAAAAGGATTTCTTCCCTAGCATGTACTTGTCCTGTTTTATTGATTAAGGGAGCTGCGGAGGAGAATGCGTCTCAAGTAGATGGATGCATTCATAGATTCAGAGAAGTGTCCAGTGTTCGAGTCATGTCTCCTTTCGTAAGAGGTGACAAATCAAAACCAAAGTGTGAAACACAAAGAGTCTGCTCAGTATTAGAGAGATCTTGTCTCTTTATTCACTCTCAAGCCTGCCAACACTTCTAGTCAAGGTCAATACTATACATTTACTCAGTCCCAGCCAGACAGAGTGTGGAATAATTTGATCTGACAGATGGTTTGAAGGTGTTTTTTTAGCTACTTAATATAAGTTTACTAGATTTCTCAGATTAATTATCACATTTTCATCGGCTTTTCTTCTTCTCCATCCACAGACTCATCTGCCCAACATCAAAGTGCACGCATACTTCGCTCCCATCACTCCACCCCCCTCCGTTGGAGGCAGCCGTCAGAGGTTTTGTCGCTGCTGTGTCCTGTTATGATGTAAAGACAACAACCCCTCCTTTCCTCACTCTGTGTTCCCCGTACACACTCCCCACAGCCCACCACTTGACCCCTGACCTGCTGTTCCCCTCCTGGCCCCTCTGTCAGAAAGTACATGCTGGTGTCCCCCCACCCTCCTACCCCCTTGGAGCTGCAGAGAGAGGGAGAGAGCCAACTAACGCTACAGGGTCTCTGGTAACTTTCCCCAAAAAACATTCCCAAAACTCACCACCACACAGTACAGAACAGGCTTTCACACAAGCTGAAATACAGACACACATGCACAGATTAAGAAGAATGTCTGAACATTCCTGGTCGCTGTTCAGAGGACAAGCCAGTATTACAAAGAGGGTTATGTAAAAACAAATGTGATCGTCACTGCTAAAGGATTTAACTCTTCATCGAGTCAAGTCCAAAAGATTGTTTTAAGGATAACAAAACGGGACTGTGACATAAAAAAAAACGCTCCATATTTGGGAGGAGATACATTCAACTTATTTAGCACTTTGAGAGACAGATTCAAGTTGTACTGAAGAGGTTAAAACAATCCCCTCTTCATTTCTCGCATTATTCCCTCAGTGTTGAAGGTCACTTAACAGCTACCTCCAGATAAGAACTACACTCAAGTTAAGCTTTGATTTGCAGGCTGTTCATTTCAAAAAAGGGGAAGCAGTGCAGCGAGTTAACTGCCAACACCCCAAACACACACAGAAAGCAACAGGACGCATATTTTGTGATTCATTTTTTTTTGTTTTGTTTTGTTTTGTTTTCAAAAAGCATACTTGCATCTTTTTGCACCTCCAGTAAAAACAATGACAAGACACTTTACGAAGAAGGCTGGCAGACTTCCTCTCATGTGCACACTGAGCTTGCTCCACCTGTACCCCCACCTCTCTCTCTGTCTCTCTGTTACAATCAGAAGCTTCAACATTCTGAAGAGAAAAAAAAAAAAAGACAAAGTTCAATATTTTTCTAAAAATGGACACCGATTACTTACAAGTGGGGGACGAGAAGATGCCAAATGTTGCATGTAACAACTCTAGTTTTTTAAAGTCTAACTGTACAGATACATGAAGACTGCAATTTTAGAGAGACAAAGTCGGCTTAGCGAGAGAAGACAGTATGAGATCACTGCTGATGGATCTCTCTGGGGGAACTACAGAAGACCACCTCGGCTGGTTAGAGTACAGATCTGTATTCAAGTATGTACAAGAGCTTTGGACAGACAGACTGAGCTGGCTCTTCATCTGGAGTTTGACAGAGGAACTGATGCCGGCCTGTCAGAAAGGTTATAAAAAACAAAAACCTGATTTGACAAAAGAAAAAAAGGTCTGACATCCCATCGTGAAATTTTACAGTCAGACTGGGACAACAGGTGGAAGAATCCAACTAAAAACAATCAAAGTGATTCTTATTTTTAGTTGGCTTGATTTCGTTAAGTTGGTTGTCGCTCGGTGATGGTTCTGACGATGAGGACCTGTCTGACGTGGGATAGGCATTAGCGACTCCTCGATTCCCATGAGGCCTTGCAAGGGACAGAGTGACAGAGTGTTACACCCTGCTACATGTGACTTCCTCCAAGTCCTGCTGCTGGAGGTAAAGACTGGATCAGACTTGTGAAGTCACCGCAAGAGGAAGTCAACTGAATTTTGAGCACATGACTCTGGCCTGCTGACAGAAAGGATGGAATGATTTTTGGAGGGCTGCCATGGACTTCGGCCCCCTGCCCCATGAAGTATTGAAGCCTTTTCTTATGGATTATCTTCTCCTGCACTTGCACCTGCTTTACTCTGTGTTTGTCTTTCTTTGGCTTTTCATTTTTTAAATGTCTTTTTCTGCTTCTCTGTCTGATCTCCTCTGGATCTCCACTGTTTCTCTTCTTTTGCAGTTCTGTTTTGGTGTGGTTTGGATTGCACCTGCTTTGTGTTTGAAGTCATGAGTTCAGTGTCTCCAAGTTAAGTTTGAGTCCTTTTTCCAGTCCTCAGTTTTGATCTGATGGTGTTTGTGTTTTTATCAAGAGTTTATTGTTACTAAATGTCTGGAGTGTAGCCTTTGTCTAGGGGAAGTGTTGGCGCCAGTGCAATTGTAATAAACATTGAATTTGAGTTGGATTTTTTTTAAATGTGAGCTGAGGAGGAGTTCACGATAAAGACGATGACGATGAACTGTATGTATGATGTACAGTAGGCTCTACATATTGAATGTTTCCATCAAGGAGAAGTCTTCGAGGTGGCTGTTCAGGCATTGTGTGCTACTCAAGCTGAATCCGATTTTTCTCCCAAAGCGTGCTTTCCTCATCTTAATTTTAATGCCTTGCTTTTTGAAATACTGCCCTCCCATAATGCACCCTGCCCAAATACACGGCCAAAACCCAGAGTGGAATGTTGATCACTTTCAAATGTCCCAATTCTGGTTTAAGATGCCAACAGGCAAAAGACTCTATGATGACTCTGTTCAGTTTGTCATTTGACAGCTACGGTAGGCCAGATAATACAAGCTGAGAGAATCCAGTGTAATCCAGTCTGATCTGTTTTGTTTGAATGGGGGTTTACAGGGATTAGGGAACAACTAAGAGTCAAAATGGCGGAGGTATCTAATGTGCTCTGTCACTGTGCTCTAGGGTTAACACTGTTAACTGGGGGGAAAAAGGAAAAGTCTTCTGATCTATAAAAGAAATCTGGTTTCAATGCCTTTTACTCCTCTTCATTCAATTCAGGTGTTCCAGGCTGAGTCAGCAGCGTGGCTTAACATGTGCTTTCCTTGAGAACCCTTTGAATGGATTACAGTGACCAAGACTCATCCTACCCCTGATTGTTATATATGTACAAAAGAAATGACCTGTCATTAGTCTTTTCATGGTGCAACATACACTACAGCAGATTGATTTTTTCACCACGGCATTAAACATCTCTGTGTCCTCCGTCACTTTCTCACACAAGTTCACACAGAGTCCAGTAAATACGCTCCCAGTCAGTTTGTTTCGTTCATGTCGCTTCCAAAACACTGGAGTCCGGCTAAGGATCAGGACAGAGGGTAAAAGGTAAATCTACAGTGAGAGTCCATGGTAGGATCAAAGCCTGAGAAATTTCAAAACGATTTTGACAATGACTGTAGTTAATATAATTACTGTAAATCTTTTCCTTTTTTTTTTTTTTTTTTTTTTTTTTTTTTTACAATTAACCAATATAAATAAATATGTACGTATGAATAAATATATACCTATATTATTAAGTCTTGTCTGGGTGTCTCTGGTGTTGCACTAGTGATTTCATGTTATTTCAACTTGGCATTAGCTTTGTTTGGGCAGTAGATGGCAGCAGAGGGCTAGCTGTTTTAAATCTACATCACTGCTGCTGTGATTTCACCTGAGTTTTCAAGTGACTCCAGCAGATTTGCTTTGAGCAGAGTCAGAAAGGAATAACCTTCAGCTCCTAGACTGAAAGAAAAAAAAAGCTTTAATAAAAGGAAATAAGAAAGTTTATTTATATTTTTTAAGACACAACATTTGACTTTTATGTTATAAGTATCTGACTATGACTGCTTGCTTGAATGTAAGGCAGCCACCTGCAATTTATGATTCATATTTTCATTGTAATGTCATGATCATGTCTTTGGTGTTAACAGTTTTTAACCAAAGGCTATCACTGGGCATACTTGATAGTGAAACACCTAAATTAAGCCTTTGGAAATGAAAGAGTACATATGATGGTCAATAATGTCATAATTGCTGTAGACTACTGTAATTTCTATAGATGGCTTTTTTTTCTTTTGCTAAATACCGGTATATTTATTTAAATGTGAATGTTAATTAAGATATTGTTCTCCTTCTAGTAAGGATAAACCTGTCATTTAGATCCTATTTTTCTGAAGATACAGACAAAAGCAGGTCTAAAGGGTGCTTTGGGATAGCATTGGCACCCCTTGAGATCTGATTGCCCACCCCAAAACCCTGAGCTATAAATTTGTCTTGTCAGTGACAGGAAGGACTTAAAATCAACTACTTGGGAAGTGTTAACAGCCTGGCAGTAAATTCATTTGTATCAAGATGAAGTACATTTTCTTTTGTTAGTGTTTTTAATTTTGATTTTACAAAGAAATACAAAGTGTATTTTAAGTCCTCAAAGAGTCAAGCTTAAAGGGATATTCTGGCATAAAATTAAGTTAGGGTTAAACACATCGTAACACTGAGTTAGACACCCCCTCGAGAGATGAATATTGCAGACTGCTTGCTTCTCTAGTTATATCACCTTTAGTAACGACTGCACGATAGCAATACACAGCGGTCTATGACTCCACACACAAACCTCAACCAAAAAGCCACTCTATAACCACAAGTAATGCAGATCCTTTCCATGAGGTTATAATCATCATGATGATCATTTTGCGCAGCAGATGCGGTAGTTCTTCTGCCTTAGCGTCTCGGTCTGATTGCATTATAATGAAGTAATGATCATAAATGTTCTTCCTTGAGCTGCAAAACTCTGCTGCACTCAGTGATCGACTCGTCAGGGCTCCCCCACAAACAAGTGGCTGCTGAAAGAGAGTAGGTGAGTTGTGTTTCGTCTCTTTGCTAAAGAAACCAGGCAAAGCTAAAAAGATGTTTGATGGCTAGAACTATAGCTGGGACCCTATATGTACTGTTGATGAAGTTAGGTGCTGTTCTGAGCATTATTTGAGAGACATAGACTGCTGTGCATTGCTATTGTGGGGTCATTACTAAAGTTAAAGTCAACTTAAATTTATGCCGGAATATCCCTTTAACAGATTTATGTAGAATTATTATTAACAACAATTATACACAGGACTAAAAGATATTTCAATAAGAAGTGTTAATGACGACAGAGAGGGTGAATGGGATTATTTTGGATCAAAACACACATACATGGGCCACCCCTGTCTGTGTTAGTGCCCCTCTTAGATCACCCCAGTCAAAAAAGTTTGAACACACCCCTGGATACCGAGTCAAAAAGCCCTATCCTCTCTCTAACACAGTTGTCAGTGCCAAACAGAGTTTCCATGTACCTTAACAGTCTTTTTGGATGAATATTCTTAAATTCTCATGACTTTGACTCTCTTGCATGAACTTGTAGAGGATTTCAGACCTGACAGACACCATGAGTTGATAGGACACAGTCAAGTCTCTGCTGATGTGTGTACAAAAGTGCACACTTTCAGGTGAAAAACAGATGAACAATCTGCAACAGCAGCTCTGGCCCTGTAGCAACTCCATGACGACCGCTGTCACAGCTGGGATGTGTCTTCCGCCACTCGGGACTCATTTTCATCCTCTTGTTTCCCCTGTCTCCAAATCACAGGGACATTGGTGTGTTTTCATCTTGTTTTAATGTTCTTTTTTAGCAATGGAGTTCTGGCTCCCGGGAATTCACATGTAGGATGAAAGCCGGGCATCTCTCAGGAAGAAACTTAAATGTCTGCGCGCATGTGTGTGTGAGTGTGTATGAGTGTGTGTATGTGTGTGTACCAACTGCTCTGAGTTTTAACAGGGATGGTTCAGATCACAGCTCACTGCACAGCTCCCCAACAAGACATTGTGTTTCAGTTTATTTTTGACAGCATAGTCACACTGCCAGACACTTGAAAACTTTTGACTTGGCCTTTGTTGTTTTTTTTTTTTCTCGCACAGTGTTCTTTCAGTAGTGACTCTGTTATCTGCTGTGCCCTGGCTGAGTGAAGAAATAATTAATGTGATAGCAGACTCTCTCTCTTTCTCTATCTTTCTCTCTCTTTGTCTTTCTTCTTTTCTTCAGCACACCCACGTGCAAAGACTTGGGTGACAGCTCTCAGAGCAAACTTTGATGTCAGGCTTGGCTGAAATAACACTGTGCACACAGAAAAACTGTGAACGATGCGTTATTAGGATACAAATTAAACCCCTTCTCCAGTTTTCTTAGTTTTACACAAACATCTGTACATTCTCAACTGTATTGTTTCATTCTCTCTCATCTGAAGAAGAATAATGTGTCTTTTGAGGGGAGAATCAGTGGAGACCCACCCCAGGAGGATGGTTAAGTAAGGAAGGAAATTAGATTGAATCAGTAGAACCTGTCCTCTGGTCTTAAACAATCCTACACACTCTGATACATCCTTAAAGTCTGCAGAGAGCAGAACCTGCACAGAGGCTGGAGCTACATCAACCATGCAGGGAATGACAGGGGGTAGGGGAAGTATGTGGCCAGGAACTAACACATATTTTGGTAATTTAGGAGAAAAATGCTGATCTGTATACAAGGTTTGTTACTAAATAGGCTATATCAAATTTATAAACACACCCTCACCTACTTCTTTTATGTTAAATAATGATAAACCTTATTTTGTCTGATATTGTTTTATTAACCCTATGCATTTTAATTTGTGGGTATGGGCGTTTGTAGTCTTCTGAAACCCAGTTGCTGTCAATACATGTATAAGTGTAGTTTTTCATGTATGCAAAATGTTATTATTGTCATTTTAATTTATCGTTATTAGACCAACAGTTACAAATTGTAACTGTGTAATTAGATTTCACCTGCTCATTGATTTTGATCGACATTTAATGAGATGAACTGCGTGACTTAGTTCAAACAAGGTGGAACATGGGTAGTGGACATGCTGTAGTTTCCGAAATCACTAAGCCAAATTTCTGTATGCAAATTGTGGTCTTTTTGGGTGAAAAATAGCCCCCGCCCACAGTCGTGATTCCTGACAGTCTAGATGAATCCTGGCAGAGTTGTAAAAATTGCCCCAATCGTGCGCCTCAGACGTACGAGAAGGCGTGCCTAACATTGCGCTTAAATTTAAGTCTGAGAATTGACGAGTGGTACTCTCTGCTTTGGATTTACGCCTGACAAGTGAATTGAAGATTATTGGCTGTGTTTGGATCGTATGTGAAGCTGATCTTTTTGCTTCTTTACTGCTGAATTTGTGTCTCTTTTTGGAGCGAGGGACGGAATTGTGCCACACCAGAGCTTTCCGAGGCGCATCAAAGGGCGATACAGCTGTCAAAACGCGAGGTTCAGCATTTTCCTCAACGCCTAACCTTGCGTGGCAGAAGTGACATATAAACCTCTGGTGACAGTGCACGTGTTGAGGAGTGTAATCGACCCCGATTCCTTAAATTGGCGCGTGGAGAGCAAATGGCCATCGGGCGTCCGCCTCGCAGCGCGCACAAATCCATGTGATGAGGATCGGTCACACTTTGTGGAGCTTCTTTATGGCTAAAACTGGAGATTTTTCCCTGTGTGGACACGATTTGAGGAACTAAAAGTTTTTATTTATACTATTTGTTTCTTATCTTAAATTACTTTTACGGTGTCAATGATGACAGAGAATAACGAGGTGGAGAGCGACTCTCAGCTCCAGCGCTCACCTAGCTCCATGTCCATCCAACCGATGACATCCAAGGCAAGTATTGAAGGTTTTTGTTGTTCTTTTTTTAAGGGCTCACTTAAGCCGCTCGTCTTGTGGCCTTCCCTACAGTGTCTACACCTGAATCCCACCCCCCACCCCAGAAAAAAGAGCAAAAACTTTCCATGCAGCTCCCTCTACAAATCCAGATCTGAGTAACGATAGGTGGAATAATCTTGTGGATATCTATGGATGTGTTTACCGTCACTATGCAGTTTTGTGCGCTAATTGTATTTTTCCGGTACTTCGTGTATTATTATTGATGGCAGAACCTCACAATTGCAGTTGCTGTCATCATGACTGCGTCACGAGGTGTAACCTCTCACGTAAGGTCTGATGTCACCCCGTCTCCTCCTTTCTCTCCCCCTTGTCTAAACTTACTTCCTGCGACACACACACAGAAGTTTGTACCGTTACATAAACTACAGACTGTGGTGTATTTAAAGGGAAACGATGGAAGAGCACAAATGCAAGCGAGCTGTTAGAAACTTTTCTTTAGTAATTTTTTGGCTGATATGCAGGATTGGAATCTTAAAGACCGAGAGCTAGGTGCCTTTACAAAGCGACTAAATGAATCCATTTTAATAGTTGTTTTTACTGTATTCAAGTTTCAAGTACTGTACTTGTGCAAGCTACCTCGGTGCATCAAGGACACTTCATTCATTCATTCATTCAATAAGGCCCAAAAATCAGAATCAACTCCTCCTTGTCTGGATCTTTATGAAGCTCATGCCTTGTGTCTGCTCCACCCACACACACACTTAGCTACATAACCAGCTGATTGTCTCTGCTTCATTTGAATATGTGATGCATCCCGTGGGAAGCTGTAAACCAGCATCGTTAGAAGTCTATATATCGCCCCTCTCTGCCATTTGGCTGTATCCACTTCCCCCACGCCACACCTGCTGCTCCCACAGAAAATTGGGTGATGTTCCATCTATGCCAAGCTGGACTGATTGGTATTCACTTGTCCCCCCTTTTCTGCCTGTCTTCACCACATCACTACCATTTATTCTCCCAACTAATCAGACAGGCTATTCAATCACTAGCTCCCTACCTCGTCCCCCTCTGCTCTGACAATCGATTGAGGCTGCGCAGGTTGAATACCTGTGCTCTGTGTGAGGTAGATTTAACCTTCAGAGCTCCTGCCCCTGTCACAGCTCATACAGGCAGGTGAAAGGTTGATTTAGACATCTTTTGAACTCTTTAAATGGTCAGGATTCAAAAGACTGGGGGGCAGGTATCAGTGTGGAGTTAGGAGCCAGTAGGGTATGCATCAAAATTGGGTAAGCAAAGCTAGCATGCAGAGATAGTGAGGCAGCTTCAAAGCCAGTACAACAGCTTGTGTCGGCACACTAGAAAGCAATCTGAATGCTTGTGGGCAACTTTTTTGTGGGTCCATCCAAGTCGCATTTTTTTTTCCATTAATGTGTAATAAAAATCTACACATTAACATTGTATCTATTTTTAACAATTAAAAAAAAAAGCTAGAGGGTGTAATTTTTGAAAGAATCTAATCAGACACGGAGCCATGTATCCGTGATGTTAGTAATTAGATCAGCATGACGAGGAGAGAGAAGGGGACTCGCTCTGATAGCAGATGCTCCTTGAAATTTACCAGCAGAAAATTTCCCACAAAGATGAATATCAGATATCAGAAACACAGTGAAACTTGCCAGGGGATTAAGAGCAAATGAAGCATGGACTTTCTCACAAAACTGTCCTGTGGTCTGTGCCAAGGCTGGGAGGAACGTGAGTGTTAGAGCAGATGAGACGCCTGAGCAGCAATCATCGTGAAATAGGGTCCTTCTTTACTGAGAGCTGTTTGATCTGTCAGGGCTGGTGATGCTGGTGAAAGGGGGGCTTTGCTTTGATAGAGGTGCACAAGAAGACCTGTATTTCCTTGAGATGGGCACACAGGACAATCTTGAGAACAGCGTCCAGACTGGAAATGATTCTCTGCTACACATTTTAGAGGTCAGGTTCATTTTTAGCTTGTCCACAGTGTGATAAAAATATTTTCCCTTTGTTCCCCTTGTATTTTACAACCAGTCCTTTATTCAGTGTGGACTCTTTCGCACAAATATAGAGATGAGTGATATTAGGTCACCACAGTTTTAAATGGAGGGCCTGTCATGGCTTACAAATCAGTGTTATATCCAAACATATCTCACTGGAGCTTTTCAATAACACTAAAACACATAGTTTGTTGCATGACAGTAGTTTAATCCATGATTGTGATTTAATCCGTTAAAGATTTTAAGCCTAAAAAGGTAGGTAAAAGACTTTCCCAGGTATTTATCCAAAAAATCCAGCAGACTCAAAGCACTCAAATTAATATCACCATTTAGCTGTCTATCAGGGACAGTGCAGTTATGTATCCGATCTTAACTGTGCATGAAACAGTAGTGTAAATTTAGAGCTATTCATGAGACCAGAATGACAATTAAGAGATCAACTAAAATTATTACATTTAACTTCAATGAGCTGTGACAGTTTGTTTTAATTTTCTCATCAACCTTTGCAGTAGAAGTCGTCTTAGCTCAGTTAGCGCAGTGACACTGAGGCACTTCTAATAAACTACAGTGGCGTCTGTGGGATCTCTGCTGCCATTTTTCTGAGTTTCTTCGCTGACATCTCTTTAAAACCACCCACCCTTTTAATCTCATTAACTCTCACTTCACTCCCTCCCCAAACGGAGGCTTTGTTACACAGATTTGAGTGACGTGAGCCAAGGAGTAAGTTGCAGAGGGAGGCCTGAAGGGGCCAAGGTCTTCATTAATGAATGTAACACCTCTACTGCTGTGAGGTTTATTGATGTGACACAACAGGAAAGGTGTGAACTGTGGAAATTCTGGACTACTAGAAGGCTACAACTCTAGCTAAAAATAAGACTGGTGCAGCGTTAATGAGCTATAGGAATATCTGTTATGGCGATTCGTTTTCGTCACTGCTGATGCTCATTCAGAAATAGCCACCGGTCCAAGACTCACAGACACCGTGGTGTGGTTGAGCTGTAGTGTGTCTCTGTGTGTGAACAGTGATTGGGTGAGTGAAAATGGGCGGATAATGAGTTGCCAGGGCAGAGCAGGGTGGTGGTGTTGGTGTTGACTGTGTGTGCGTGAGGGAAGTGGCTGTAATCCACACTACTATTTCACACTGAGCCTCTCGGCTGTAAAACAATCACAGAGAGGGTCAGAAGAGTGTGTGCAGACACATGGGGTGTGTATAAGTGCATGTGCACCAGAGAAAAACAATGGGAACAGCATGTCATTACGTATTTCTTATCTGTTATTCAGAAGGGGAATCTGGTATGCTGTCATTCATGATGTTCATTTCTCACTGAGTAGAGACGGGGCTGGACACCGACTGATAAAAACCAGGAGATTTAAGCGGTTGAAATACTTTGCTTTAAAATTATGATTCATTTATTTTGTCTCTGACTGTGATTTGCACTCCAGAATAACATAACCCGCCCCTCCTCTAACCTCTGTTTAGCTGCAGCGACTTTTGTCTCTTTATTCCAGGTTTACATACTCTGCACAAAACAATTGACGCCACACAGCGAGCAAAGATATACATAATTACATCCCAAAATAAACCATGTGCCTGGTAACTGAGGGTAATTATTTCCTCGGGTACCACATACTCAGCTTATGACCTAGAATTTGACTGAGACAGTAAACTGTCTTTTTCAAACTAGACCACACAGGTTTTACCCTTTATAAGGCGGACATATCCTCATTAAATATAAGTGCGAGGTCAGACACTGTGACGTCCGCCCTCTGAACAGTTCTCTATAGATAAACTAGATTTAAGGAAGGTGGGGCATGAAGCTGAAAAGAACTTTCAAAGCTGAAATTACAGACAACAGAAGAAAAAGACATACTGCAATCAAAAGTCACTCAATGTATGTAACGCTGAGGTTTTGATTCTGGGTCTGTTGCAGTCACTCGGCTGTTTCTACCCTATTTCTGCTGCACCTCCTGCTTTTCTATCAGTGAATCAGTCATAGTGAATCAGGGACTCGCACAGTGCTGGTCTTAATAGGTAGAGTGGAAGAAGAGGAAATAAGATTCATTTGAAGACAGGATTTTTTTCACAGACATCTATTAAAGACCCTTCACTTAATTCTGGCTCAAGGTTTTAGAGAGTTAGTATTTTGACCTTAACTTGTGATTAAAAAAAAGACAAAAAGAGTCACTTAGAAGTCCATTTTAAATCCTCTGTACTTAAATCGAACAAACAGCATAAAACTGAAGCACATCATAACCACAGACTGTATTTATGGTCGTATCTCCAGTGGGGCCACATCTCTGCCTTTCGGTCTTAACCTCATGACAGGCAGCAGCACCCCATAAGTAACTCAGCCTGGCCCTTGGCCCCATTATATTCTGACAGAGGGAAGAAGAGCCACTCTGGAATAAAAGCTTTATCATTGAGTTATATCTGCTCAAACCCTGCTGTCCCTATGGAGAATTGATTTTGGACATTTATGGCCACATGTGAGGATGACTAGAGGTCTGTATATAGATCAAACGTGTGAATTATGGGCTTTTCCAGGACAGCTGGAGCAGGCCTTTGTAAGCGGTCTGCAGCAGTGTGAAGAATATTGACTTTGCAGGTGCAAGTAACTGCAATCTATGTAAAGAGTTTGCATTGCATTAGGGTTGATACAAAGAATGTGTTTACAGAGAGACATTATTTTCAGGAAAAAGCATTTTTCTGAAGTTGACAGGCTTTGTGTGTTTTACTTGTCAGAATCACAGTAAAAGGATAAATGACAGGCTGAGTCGGGGCCCTCTCTACTTGACAAGCATTGTCATGAAATTGCAGTGGATCAATAATACATGGTACATCAAAAGCGGTGTAACATCTGTGGAAACGCTCAGCTCACTCTCCCCCAGATTTTTATCAACATCGACATTTCACCTGTCAGAGAAATGAGAGTGAGATGATGCAGATGAATGGAGACTGTGTGTACGATGACCCAAATACAGAATGCTATCACACCAGCTTTGACTCAGAAGTATGACGCTCTCAGCTAATGTTCAAAGGGAGGCAAACGGGAATGCTTTTTGGGCTTGCACACTGACAGATTATTAGATTAGCTGTAATTGAGACATGTGCTTCAGTAGGAGCTGTTCTGCCAGCACTCATCCGCTATAACTGAGAGATCGGCTCACGACTCTAATGCTGCAGTATACATTGGAATAAGTGGCAAGTATTGTGATAGTAATTAACAGGATCAAATTATGCACAACACATTCTTTATAAATCATCACAACTTTATGGTTTGTAAACTGTTACTGGGCGCTCACACCAAGCGCGAGTAAAATCATCTACTTGCTTAATCTGCACGAATCTAGACGTGTGAATGAATAGTATTTACTCGCATCATTCGCGCGTCAAAGGTAATTTCAACAGTAATCCCTGCCAATTCAACTAGCGGGATCAAGTGATCGACAAAAGTTTTTTACAATTTACCAGGTAATCTGACCTCCTCACTCACTTGTCTCCAGGTGAGCTCCGTTTTATTCCGGTTTGGGTAATTGAAAGAAAAGGTATATAATTTGGGTCACCCACACACCGACTCAATCAGTTTGTCCTCCATTTAAGATACCAGTGAACTACCGTCCATTTTCATACGTCACCCAGCACCCTTCATGCTTGGTAGTTGTCGCGACGTGAATACCTGCTCAAGTTGAGATTGGCCCAATTTGGGTCATTTTTGCCGCCAGTGTCGTAGGAGTGTCTAATTTTGTCTTTGCATTGACTTAACATGTAATCCATTTGCGCGAATGATTTTACTCGTGCTTGGTGTGTGGAGACAGTTAGAATTTTAGCTGATGGAGTTGTCATAAATCTTTGGCGGTTAAAATTGCATTTCTACACCTGGAATGAGAAACATGCCTCTTACTCATCATCAAAACCTGTGGATTGTTGTTGGTGCCAATCAGAAAAGTTCACAATTTCAGTAAACCCACTGTAAGAATCAGTTCTTTAGTTGACTGTTCAAAGAAGTCCAGAGAAATCTTCTGTTCTCAGATATAACATTCATTCAGGTCACATGAAAAGTAGTACAGCGCTTGACTCGGGATGACAGAGCTCCTAGGATCTCCATCACGAGTGCCCAGTTCTGAGTATAATTCACATTTATCTCCTTGGGCAGGGATTGCCCTGGACAGAGAGAGGTTGGACTTAAACACAACCAAGTATCAATGGCCAGTTATCTCCGACATGAACAGGCCAACCGCTGTTCATGTGGTCTCACGAAAATGTGCTATGAAATATCTGTGTGTTTGTGTTGTTGACCTTGAGGTGTGTAACTACTTTAGCAAACCTGTCCAACAAAACAAAGAGAGCTTTGTGGCTCATCAGATTCTTGCTTATCAAGCTAGGCTTCACACTGTTCTGATTAGAAGAAAACAACCAGTAAGTTAAATGAAAACACTTAAGTTGCATGAGTTCAGTAAAAAAAAGTACAAATCTAACGTTAGCAATTACACCACAACCGCTTCAAACAGATGTTTGTGCTGAAAGGGACCCAACACTGCTGTTTCCATCAACTTTTAGTCTCAACAACATACTAAGCAAAGTCTTATCATATTTGTTATCAAGATGATAAATCTATCTCCCCACCCCTCACATGGATGCATTAGATGAATTAAATGTCCTTACATTTCTCTCTAATCCCTATAACCTCTGGCTTTGGAGATGTTGCTGTTCAGCCACCTCTTAAAGCTGCAGAGAGCAGGACTGAGACCGAGTGCAGGAGTAGGGTGGGAGAGAAACTGTGGTTCGATATGCAGTGAGAAGCTCAATTTAGCGACAATGCAGCTGCGCTTCAACCTTCTCAGCGTGTCTCTTTGCATTGCCCTCCGATTCACCTGCAGCTCACCACACAGACAAACTTTCCACATTCAGAGGAAACGCCAACATTTTGCTAAATCCCTTGCATGCCTCTTTAAAAGACACCAATTACATTTGCATCTGTTGCAGACAGACTGAGAACACAGGGGAGATGGTGATGTCTGTTTGTCCCTTTATGTACTCTTTGAAATTGCTCAGTGGTGGATCCAAAAATGACCCAAACACAGCTATGTAAGAACAAATCTCAAAGCTGCACACAGTTGGGCATGTTCCCTAAAGATACTAAAATTTCCATACACCCCTCCTGGATTATGAGCGATAACTGAGATAACTTGAATAACTTGAAACTGTGCTCTGTATAAATACAGTAAAGATAGATTGATAGAAAATGTTTCTATTTTAAAACAGTTGTTCTAATAAGTTGAAATAGAAAGTTTAAGATGAGTTTTGACTCTAACTGAACTCTTTGACTCTTTGACTTTTAAGTTGTGTGGAGTATTGCAACAGTATTAAAACCCATAACAGATTTTAACTCATGTGTAGTGATTATTATATTCTCAGCTTCTTACCTAAAACACATTGTATTTAAATTGATATATTTACACACAGCGGAAGGAATTTTGCAAAGCAACTATTCCTGAATTGTTAAAACAGAAATTTAAATTCCTATCAGTCACCTTGTATAGAGATAAGAAAACACCCAGAAAACAGACAAAATTGAACACAACTAGTTAAACATGGTTAAACAAGGGACTACAGATAGTGTCAACAAGGTCAAAACAAATGTCAAAGGAGTGCTTGCACTAGTATGCCTGTCCTGATGTACATTGCTCTATTCATATAATGTAATTTTTAGGGGTAGGAATCACTAGTGGCCCCACGATACTTGGGCCACAATACAATATTATTCCGATATTTAACATTTCACAATTCAGTGAGTATTGCGATACAATGTACTGCGATTTATACAATTTTTTCAACTGTTTAGCTAATTAAGCATTTGGCTTTCCTTTATGTTTGTATTATTTATGCTGTATTTTAGTTTCGTGTAGCACATCTTACAAACCTTATATATATTTGTTGTACTAACATCCCCCTGCTGTATGATGTCAGCTCTGCCCACCTCACTGGACAACCAGTTGATTTAAATTTTTTTCATGATCATAGATTTTACTTCATATTAATGATTCATTTGAAAAATCGATACTTGGTAAATGAGACAATACGATATATCACCAGGCAAAATATCGTGATTCTATGCTGAATCATTTTTTTCTCCCATCCCTAGTAATTGTCATTTTCTCAATTAAAATAGCTCAACGGAGCCGTACTAATAAATGCAGTCCTTTTACTGTGCTTGTTGACATCCAGGTTGTAGAGAACTATGGCTTTAAGGCTGAAAATGATGGGAGGCACAAAAACACAACAAGCATTTTAGACTCAGGATTTAAAAAGAACAATAAGTTTGACTGACAAGTGCTTTTGACAGCAATAGGCAAAGGGAGCTGTGTTTAATTGTAAGTCGAATAAATGCCCATATCCTCATATAACATATTCAAACATGTATATTTTCAGCATCAACTACCTAGCCTTTGAAATTAATAATAAGAAACATCTCCATCCTCAAAGAGCTGGAAGACATGCTGCTGATCTACAGATAAAAACACCCTTCATAGTAATTACTGCAGATAAACAACAGATATAGATTACACACTGAATTTTTAATCTCCTACCAGAGAGTAAAAACAAAAATCCTATTCAAGAATATGTGTCGGACTAAAAATATACTCAGTCCCTGATTAAATCGCTATCAAAGATTTAACTTCTGAAATGTTTATCAAGCAAAACACACAGGGCACAACATCATTCTTCACATGAAAAGCTATAATAAATGGCATTGCACTGTTTGGTACTCTAATATAGATTTATTAGAGGCGTCTGACCATGGTAATCTTTATTAGAGATCTATAGGAAGCAAATGAACTGTGAACACTTGCACTCAAATACACTCCGACTTTTGTTTCTCCTGCTCTCCCTCTTTGGGTTCTTCACAAACACACACACCCACACACACAAACTCTGATAGACAAACTGTTTTCATATCTTACTCCCAGATGTGCAGAGCTGTAAACAGCATGTCCCTGTAAGGTGATTATGTTTGGCGCTGAGCAGACAGCCAGACAGAGCGTGTGCACACGGCGTCTTCGGCCTACTGATGATGTGTCTGCTTTTCTGTCCATGTTGATCCATTTTTTCCCGTGACATGACCACACCCTCACACCACTCTCCTCCTGCCAATCCCATGTCAGCGCTAGAAACAGTGTCAGGGCAACAAATGGATGCCTATCTTCAGGGAAACTAGCATCATCATCTGTAAACAGAGCCGGAGGAAGATTGTCAGGAAACGTGCATTTATCTGGCCAATCAGTGCTAGATAACTGCAGAAAACAAGGCTCACAGACGTGGCGGTCTCTGCTGTGACGTTTTGTTGTCTGATTGTCTCAAATGCAGCAACTGATAATCCTGAAAGAGTTTTTTTTTTTAATATATATTTTTCCTCGATATCCAAAAGGGATTGAACATGAAATTTGATAGTCTTGCATAATGTGGGCCTGTAAGTTTGGCCCTCTGAGAAGGAATCAATTAATGGTTTGTAAGGATCACACGTAATCAGATTAAAGGCACATTCCCGCATAAAATTAATTAAGGGTCAAACACACCGTAACTCCGAGTTAGACACCCCCTTGAGAGATGAATATTGCTGACCACTTGCTTCTCTAGCTATACCAACTTTAGTAACAACCGCAGGATAGCAATACACAATGGTCTGTGGAGCCATACACAAACCTCAACCAAAAAGCCACTCTATAGCCACAAATAATGCTCAGAACAGCACTTAACTTCATCAACAGTACATATAGGGTTCCAGCCATAGTACTAGCCACCAAACATCTTTTTAGCTTTGCCTGATTTCTTTAGCAAACTAAACACATCTCACCTGCTCTCTTCCAGCAGCAGCTTGTTTGTAGCGAGACCTCGGACCAATCCATTACGGACTGCTGTGGGGTGATGCAGCTCAAGGAAGAACATTTATGATCATTGCTACATAGAAATGCAATCAGACCGAGACGCTAAGGCAGAAGAACTATCACGTCTGCAGTGCAAAATGATTAAAACTGTGAATATTACTCAAAGGAAATGATAAAGTAATGATCATAAATATTCTTCCTTGAGCTGCATCACCCTGCAGCAGTCCGTAATGGATTGGCCCGAGGTCTCGCTACAAACAAGCAGCTGCTGGAAGAGAGCAGGTGAGTTGTGTTTAGTCTCTTTGCTAATGAAATTAGGCAAAGTTAAAAAGATGTTCGGTGGCTAGTATGGCTGGGACCCTATATGTACTGTTGATGAAGTTAGGTGCTGTTCTGAGCATTATTTGTGGTTATAGAGTGGCTTTTTGGTTGAGGTTTGTTAATGGCTCCACAGACCACTGTGTATTGCTATCCTGCGGTTGTTACTAAAGTTGGTATAACTAGAGACGTAAGCCGTCTGCAACATTCATCTCTTGAGGGGGTGTCTAACTCAGTGTTACACTGTGTTTGACCCTAAATTAATTTTATGCCGGAATATCCCTTTAAAAGCTTGACGATATAGTTCATTGATAGATGAGAGTCTGTGTAATCTGTCTTGTTTTCTGTCATTGCAAAAGCTCCCCTGATGTCACTCCTGCAGAAATGCTGTTGACATGCAGCGGTTTTTAATGTGTGACCGTGGGAGTTCTCTAAAAGAAGCACCTTATCTTGTTTAACCAGGGTCCAACGCACAAGAAGGAAATGCCAGGCCTTGCTGATGGGTGCATACAAATTGCTTTGCTATTAATGTGTTGTTTCCTTATGAGGTCATATTGTATTTCATGAGTCACCCTCTTTCCCAGCGGTGTACCGATCAGAGCAGTGTTGTGTTAAGGGATGCCAGGATATTGCCTGTGCTATCCTGAGGGCCTACTGGGCATCTGTTATTACTCCCAAGTGTTGTGCAGAATGTTTGCTTGTCTTGAGTTTATTCTTAGCATACACTTTTTCTCTCTGTCTCTGTTGATGTGTGTCTGCAGCTTCAAAGACTAAAACGCTCGCTGTCCTTCAAGACCATGATGCGAAGCAAAAGTGTGGAGAACTTCTTCCAGAGGTCCTACAGTGACGCTCGCCTGCCCCCGGATTTCATCACCGATCCCCCGCCTCCCTCTCCCCCTCTGCTGCCTGGCTCTCCTCTCGTTGGCGACCGCTCTCCCTCAGTTTCGCCGTCTCTCAGCCCTAACCTCTCCATCTCCTCCCACTCCCCTTCTCTCAGCCTCTCCCCATCACTGCCCACCAAGCCTGCCCGGCCTCAGATCACCCACTGTTTCCAGGACCATGTTTTCCGCAAGCCCACCAACTGTCAGCACTGCAAGCACATGATAGTGGGTAAGGTGGCCAGCCATCTCTCTGGGCTATTTGCTGTTTACAAGCAAACACTTAGCTGTGGTTTGCACAGGATATCTGGCCTCCCTGTCTTTGTTTACCTGATATTTCATGTGGTGCAAAAACATTTGAAGGGAAGAGCATCACCTCTTGGGCTCATGACATTTACGGTTTTCTTTGGAAACATTTGCAACAAGATTAAGAAGCCAAATTTAGACATGTTGTAAGTTACTTCCCTTCACTTTCTGGTGGATAGTTTGTAGAAAAACCAGATACTATGGAAATGAGGAACATAATGATGTGAAGACTCACAATCAGCGTAATTGGACAATTATACGCAAACACTGACTCAGATGATAAGGCAATGAGTAATAGCAACGAGGCCATTTGTCACACGTAGGAGCAGTTTAATGTATCTTTTAATGCTCTGCTAGAAAGCGAATATGCATCAATGTCAAACTAGTCCATAAAAGATATGGTGGTTTCAAAAGTCCCTTAAACTAATGGCAGCCTTTTTAAAAATGAGCTCAATCTGGATGCTTTGTTAGGAATAAAAATCAAAAATAAAACATCTTGTATGTCTGAGAGTGTTGATAGCTGCAGCAGCTTATTGAGAGGAATTGCATCACTTTGATTCTTGCATGTACTGCGAGGGACTACCATTATTTCTGCTAAATCTACTTCCTGTCGCTATGAGTGATTTCCCGCTTCCCCGCTCTTTAAGTCTCTGCTTGTATTTTCTTTTGCGCGCATGTATTGTGGTTTTATTCACGTAATGCATCACCTCTCTCCAGGTGCTCTCCTCCTCCTCCAGTCCCAAAACACAGTCCAGCCTCCGTTTTATTGTTAAGCTGATGACACAGAATCAATGTTTCTCATCAGAGTAAAAGCAGTGTTTTCATTCGGGCAACCAGATGGACCTCTGCCTCTTTCATAACAGACCTGTGGATGTACATCAGCTCAGGAAATCTTTTAGTTTTATTGTAGGATGAAAAGCGACTCGACTTGTGGATCACAAAAGCCCCAAACAATCAACCAAAATTTCAGACCACCTAAATCACGAGGAGAAGGTCGCTCAGTCCTCACAGACATGTAGCTCTGCAGCACTTGAAAACAAAGATGAAAAAGCAAGATGCATGGATGTCGAATTGATTATGATTGAGACATCTCCAGCTGGTTTCAATCTCCGCAGGTAGTTGTAGAAGATGAGCCGTTGATTATGAAGCTGTTCAGCTCTGAGAGGTGCGACAGCTCGATAAGCCTGAGACAGCTCTTGACTTTACACTTTAGCTGTGCAGAGAGAAACCTGCTCATATGATCTGAAGTCCACTTTGGTTTGTTAGTCCTCTCTATCCGTATAGCAGATGTGTGGCCTGCTGTGAGTCTATTTGTGGCAGCCTCTATGTCCCAACATCCCCTGCCCTAACTCTGTCGTCTTTGTCCCTCTCTGCAGGAAACTCCAAACAGGCTCTGCGGTGTAAAACATGCAAGATGGCTGCTCATCTATGGTGCACCTCAGAGCTGTCTCAGCAGCTTTGTCATGGAAAGGTACGAATACAATCAGTGAATTTAATGTTGCTCTTATTTACATCACTGTAGTTTTTTCCCCTCCTGGAAAAATAATCTAATTTCTACACAAAGGATGCAATTTTAAAAATCTAGTTTGTTTTGGTGTGTGTGTGGATGTGGTGATCCTGTATTTAGTGGCACCAGGACTTTGTTAACTTCAGACTGATTGTTAGCTAGCTGTCTCTACGCTCTGTGCCAGGCCTACATACCTCAAACCTCGGCTTAGTATTCAACACTAAAAAAAGTGGTCTTAGTATAAAATTGAAGTCAAAATAAATAGGAAAAAAAACATGTCTTTTTTAAAGCTGTTTTTGTGGGCAGGAGGCAGTAAATGTGGGGTGTTTAGAGTGGGAGGTGACCTGAAGTACAATATTAAGGCCAGGAGTCAAACCAGAGACCACTGTGATCGGGATCAGGCTCTTCTCTTCTCTTACATATATATATATATATATATATATATATATATATGTATAGGACTATAACCTCTATATATGGGAAAGCTTGAATTGTAATTGCCTGTAATTGCGCTTTTTTTCACGTTGTCCCTGTAGATATATCACACACTCACACACTGAAACACACACTTACCTGTCAGTCTTTAAGATGATACAATGACAGAACAGATGCAGGACGCATCTTTGTGCGCTTAGAGATAAAAGGTGCTGATTAGGCTGACTCAAATCAAATCCTCACACCATCTTGTGAAAGAGAAAAAAAAAACAAGAATATCTATTTATATCAGTATTTTTTCTTTCTGCTTAACACCTAGAATAGTTGATTTTATTGGGTCTTTTATTCATTATGTTTATCTATATTGTTGGTTTTTTGTTTGTTTGTTTTCATTGTTCATACAGCTTTTATTGTTTTTACTGTTTCTGCAATCCTCAACCCGAAAGCTTTTTGGTAGGCCACCGGCTGTTTTAAATGTGCTATGCAAATAAAGCTGACTTTGACTTTGACTATGACATTGACTTTTAAGTAAATTCATCTATCAGGCCACAACAACACCCAGTTACTTGGAACTTGAGATTTCAGATACCTCAAGGCTAAAAGGAAGGACACCTCAATGGGGACTTAAAAGCATAGAGTAGTGCAGTTCTTTGGGTCTCATGTGTCTCATCCCAATGTGGGAATATGAATTTAGACACAGGTTGAAGGGCAATGGTAGAAGGTGACGGCACCAGAGAGTAAATTGAGAATGATTGCAGACTGAGATTTTGTATTTATCCTCCAGAGCAGACAGAGGACATTAGCATGCAGCCAGAGGCAAGACCCACTGAGGGCCACTTGGAAGATTTGAAGAGCACTGTGTTTAAATAAAAAGACAGACAGACAGACAGAGGAAGAAGAGGGAGGCTGATGAGGGAAGCTTAGGTACAATATCAACAGCCAACAACTGGGAGATAGCATAGTAACAAACGTATGACTTATTACCCTCGACTCAGAATAAGTGTGTCTTCTCAGCATAATATGACAAAGTGAGAGGCTCATTTGCAAGTCAAAGACAATTGGACATCTCAGCTGCAACACATTCTGCTTAATTCAGTGTGAAATTGCGGTTGTGTGGACTCGCACATGGAGAATCACATGTTGGCGGCAGGTGTGTTAGCCATGTAATGTGAAGGGCTGAGCACATTCCTCGGTCATAAATAGAAGCAGAAAGAGACGACTCTTTGTGTGCAAGAAATGAGCTCTTTCATCAGTGCAGTTTCCACAGTAGTCCTCCACATCCATCAAAGTGTCTTTATGTGAAATTCTGATTTACAAATAAGTACAAGTATCGTTCTATCAGTGGATCTACTTCCTTTCAGCTTTAGAGAAAGTAATAAAAAAAAACTAAAGCTCTCTTTTCTCCTCTTAGTCTGGAGCTTTCAAGCGAAACTTCAGCTCGCCGATGCTCGTCAATGACCAGTTGTCTGTCGTCAAGGAAGTTCAGCCAAGTCAAGGTGAGCACACCTGAGTGCCTACGTGAGTGTATGTGTGTGTATGAAAGATTGCATGTTATGTCTCTGTCTCGTGTGCTTTTGTTTTGCAACGTTGCTCTTGTCCAGTCTCTTGGTTTTATTTTAGATTTTTTTGGCCTGCTTGTGCGTGTTCTGTAAGAAAAGCTGAACTGTCTCCATCTTATCTGACAACCGAGGAGCATGAAGTGGGAAAATAGAAAAGAACAAATTCAGCTTCTCAAGGTAGCTGATGGACGGTCTGCACCCTGAAAGTATGTGGATAAATATTTATAAGCTCTAATGTGTTTGTTTTTGACATCTCTCTCTTCCAGCTGATAAAACATTTGAAATAACTCTCTTGAACTTTCGCTTGCATGTTTAAAGTCCCGCTCCGATTGTATCTTTTTTTTACTACTTAAAGTGTACTCAGTGGTTTTTTAATTGTGATTATGAAGTTTTTAGCCAAAATCACATTACCTGTGTCATTTTCAAGGGCTTTTCTTCTACAGAGCTCCAGTAGCTCATTAGCAATTCGCCTCTGAGTCATGGGCGGAGACAGCACTGCTCTGCACACTCCTCTTCACACTAGCTTGGAGCCTAACATTGCCGGTGTAGTAAAAGTGGCAGGTAACATACGAACTATTCAGCTCTTGTACACTAATGTCTTTAGGGACATGATGAAAGTTAATATCATAATTAGCTTTCTTACGGGCATTGCAATCTGCTAACGCACACGCTTGTTCTGCGATCGTCCTCCCAATTTCTCTGAGAGTGGCCTGCACAGCGTGGCTGCAGGGGCAGAGCTTGAATTTGCTACATAGGAAATCTCACTGTGTCTGAACCATAGACTGTATATAAAAAGAAATGCCCTCTGCCTCCTCGCTGGGTGAAGCCACTCCGAGAACAACACACTCTGCTTATGGTATTGTGGACAAACTTTGAAAATTTATTACACAGAATATAAATTTTCCTCTCTCCTTCTTGCGATGTTGACATGTAGTTACCGTAAGACTGGTTTGTGCTCAAGTCCTCTTTTTCTGTACAGCTCCATTTTTAAAAGTTATTAGGGGGTTCATGTTTTCTATGATTGACACTTGAAACAGCCTATGGGCATACAAGGAGTGTGTAGCTCACCCAGGGGATACACTGTTTGAGCTGAGCATCATAACAGTGACTCTCCTGCTGAATGTGTACAATACTACTGCGCAAAGTTGGTTTCAGGATATGAAGAAAAATCGCGGAAATACCGAGAGCTTTTCGGCTTCAGATTCCTATACTGGCAGAAGGCGGAACCAAGTTGTCCATAGTATATACAGTCTATGGTCTGAATCTGCTGTTTGGGTCTGTCGGAGATTCACAGCAATTTGAAAGCAGAAATACTCAGAAATGCCATTTCACATTTAATTTTCTCATTTGTCCTGTAGCATCAGAAAAATACCATAAGAACATGTAGACAACAAAAAAAAAAGATTTTTATCGGAGCGGGTTTTAAAGAACAACAAACAAAAATTCTGCCCACTTTTGGGTTAGTCCTCTCAAGCTTTGTTCATCATATCACCCGCCTGTTTTCACAAAGAGACTCCAAATTTACAAAACACATCACATCTTTTGCCAATTTGATATGTCATCGTCACTCTGTCTTCTTCTATTAGTGAAGTGAACAAGCTTGAGGCCAAACACACTGACAAAAGCTGCTCCAAAAGTAGCTGAACTTGTTCTTCCTTTCATCATCTTGTCATAAAAGCGACTTTTTCTTTACTATTTCAATCACAAAGACGAAAAGAGAAACAGCCCATCATCTCTTTTTACTGTATGCCTTAGTGAATCAGGGTTAGCACCTCATGCTGTCACTTTATGGTGTTATCCATGAATCAGGCTACAATTAACCTAGAGCTCTGTCAGCACCATGACGCCTGCGAGTGTGCCAGGGCCAGCTGACACTGCAACCTGTCAAACTCACTGCCCCACACTCTACACCATGTCCTCATAATTACTGCAAACCAAAGGCTCAGTAAAACTCTGAACTCGTCTTTATGCATATGAATATAAAAGGGTATTTTTTCGATTGGTTTACTCACAGTGTCTATTATTTCCCATCTTTTGCCTTTTTAGCATATGAATTGAAGAATATGAATCCATGCTTATTTATGAGCCTGTAGGATTGAACCGTATAATGGTTATGGCTCCAAGTTGCATTCTTGTAAGAAACATAAAAATTAGATTATCTGTTGATGTAAGTGATATTTAAAGTGACTTGTCGCTCTGGATGCTGATAACATTATTTCAAAGTTACAGATGTAAAAGTTGGTTGTTTTTGTTTTTTGTCAAACTTTGTTCAATCACAAAAGCTCAAGGTTTTACAGACATACCATTTTATTAACCTCTCCTTTTGTGCTGAAAGGAAAGCTGAAAGGCTCAGAAAAATCCTCTTCTGTATAGATAAAGGGCCTATAGAGTCGTGCAGCACAGCACAGCGCTTCTTGGCTTACATACTTTCACATACAGTAGATTTGCTCTCTGAAGAGATAGCTCCATCTCCGACTTTTACAACGAATCAGGAGGAGAAATAAGCTCTATCACATTCAAATACTCACACTTGTGGAGCAGATATAAGACATTCTGGCTGAAGAGTTTCTGGTTTTAAGTGCTCCTGTGAAATTATTCATCTGTCTGGCAAGAGGATAGAGGTACTAACTCCAATATGAATCTGTTATGATTACATCCTGGCCACACACACAAAGAGTGCAGTGAGATACATTCTGCCTTCTATTTTCAATAGCATTGAGCCAGATGGAAGAAAAGGCAGGAACATTTAATTCCTAACTTCAGATATACTCTGATAGTCGTGAGCGCTGCCATCCACATGGCAAGGCACAGCAAAGAGTTTCTGAGGATTTTCGTATTTTCAAACGTAATTTCTTACTCGCTATCTCAATTATTACTCAAGATATATAACAGCTATTGGAAGTAAGCCATATCCATTTCTAATAAATGAATGGAGAGTAAATCGCAGGGCATACTGGAGATGAATTAGAACATCCTGATGTGTCTTTAACTTTTGGCCGCAGTCCTCTCTTGGATTTAAAGTGGGTCACTTTGGTCCAGGACTTATTGAGTTACTATGGTTAAATTTAGGTCCTCTGCTTCCTCCTGATTGGCACAGGCACATTAATAATGATGTTCAGTATAATCTTGGTGTGTAGTAGAGGGTGCAGTGTGTGTGTATGTGTGTGTGTGTGTGTGTGTGTGTGTGTGTGTGTGTGTGTGTGTGTGTGTGTGTGTGTGTGTGTGTGTGTGTGTGTGTGTGTGTGTGTGAGGAGCAGTGTCAATTGGAACAAATTAGAATTTGTGCTTGTAAATTCATTTTGCATCAGTGTGTGGGTGCATGAGTTTTACGAATGTGTGTGTGTCTGTGTGCGTATGTGTGTGTGGTTTCAGAGGCTGCAAGGATGCGTGTAGACCCCGTGTATGCCGCCTTGCGCTACGGGACGTCCTTGGCACAGATGAGCCGCTCCAGTTTTGGCAGTTTGTCAGAGTCACCGACACGCAGCCCGGTATGACATCATCGCCCTGTGGCAGGTCCTGTTTGATTAAGACATTCAAAACTTTTGCAGCGTTGACCCTTTTAATAAACTACTGATAAAGTAGTAAAAGATAACATGGCAATTTCAGATATGTGCCAGACTAGGTCACAGATTCATTGCCTTTGTGCTAGGCTAAGCAAACCAGGTGCCATAGCATAGTGCTACTGGGAGCAGGTCAAAGCAAGCAAGCCAGAAGGGGAGCCCAGATATGCCACTTTTAAGCTGATTAAAAGTTCCTCATATTTAGTGTCAGGCCAGTTCCCTACTTAAATACAACTTTGTGGAGAAGTTCTTAATTGGGAAACTGGGGAACATCTATTGCAAACATAATGGATGACAGTGGTCTCTGTGCTCCTCTCATTAAAAATGGTGCTGAGCCGGTGTGCACACTTCTGCAACAAGGACTCATCTTTGCATTGTGCATTCTGAATAATTCAGAGCTGAGTAAATTTAGTATCAAACACAACCTTTCACCTCCTGGTGCTAACATGTCATTTTGTCCTCACTGTTTCCTCCTTTGGTAAGGGCGAGGGAGGTGAGGAGAGGCAGCAGAGGCAGAGCAGTATGGAGGAAGAGATAACACAAGAGACAGGGGGTAAACACAGCTGAGCATCTGTTTTTTTTCCATGTATGTGCTGTGTGTCCATGCATATGTGTGTCCATGCAAACCTTGTGTCTAACTGTGCATGTCTGTCTGAGAGCGTGAGAGGTGTGATTTGTCAAGTGGAAAAATAATTACTTCCCTGATTGTGTATGTGTATACCTGGTGCCCTAAAAGGAAAAATTCTCACCCCTTCCAGACATCCCTGTCCCAGAGCCTGAGGTGGAGAAAGAGGAAGATGAGTGCAGCAGCCAAGCTCAGACTCCTGCAGAGGACAGCAGTGTAAAGGTAGCACAGATTTAATCCTTACACACACTTTCACCCTCTGTTTTATCCTTCAAGCAAGTATGTCCGCCTCACATCCTCGCTGTCTCTCCATGTCTTTAGATGCCAAAGCGAATTGAAGTTCACTCCATCCACACCTATGTTGCTCTTTACAAGTTCCTGCCCCAGGAACCAAATGACCTGGAACTCCAGTGAGTAAGCCAAACAGGCCCTGTCATGTGAAAGCACCACAGCTGTGCTTTTTTGGGGGTTTTCTTTTCTTTTTGTGCATGCATGCATGTGGTTTCTCCTTTGTTTTACCCTGGCAGTTGTTTCTGCAGGAAGAAAATGTCCCCACCAACTGTGGAGGACAGTGCACGACACCCTTAAGGACGACTAATTATAAACTTGTAGCCCGACACTGTCCCCTTGTAGAGGTAGTGCCTGAGCTGTGAGCCCAGCAGGGGAAAGGATGAAGACAGCGAACAACTGAGAGATGAAAGGATGAGCGGGCACAGGAGAGGAAGGCATAGAGCCAGAGATTAGTGAGGAAAGGAGGTCCAGGATGGAGAAACAGGTGGAGAAATCTAAGAGTGTATATAGAGGAGTAAAGTCTATATCCACACTCAGAGACAAATGAGGACAAAGAAAGGGAAGACAGAGCAGTAGAATGAGGGCAGGATGTGTGTGTGTGTGTGTGTGTGTGTGTGTTTGTTTGTGGGGGGACAGCTTTTACAAAGGTAGGAGATCCGTGTAACAGCCATCTGTGCCGTGACTTCGCCTGTGTGCCTGCAGAATACACGAGCAACCGACTCAGAGCATATTGTGTCTCCATGCTTCTGTCAGAGCGTGACGAGAGAAGACTGTAGGAGGCAAGAATGACCCAGTATTTTAGACAAAACAGAGAACAGACCAAAGTTTGATCTGTTGGACAGCTTTTAGCTAACTGTGTGGTCATTTAGGGAAAAGTCTGAGTGCATTTTCAAAGCACACAGCAGAATATAAAGTATACGCAATCACATCCATCTCATGGTTCCAACTGGGTTTTCACGGCCCCACTCAAAACGACCTGAGGCCCATTATCAGTCTGAGGCCCAGCGATTAGGGACCCCTGGTTTGCATGACCTGACTGTAACCTGTTATTATGAGCTCTTACCTCTGTGTCTCTCCCTGCCTCAGCAACTATTTGTGGTAATCAGACAGACAGACAGACAGACAGACAGACAGACAGGCAGGCAGGCAGACAGGCAGGCAGGCAGGCAGGCAGAGTCAATGGACAAAAATTCAAACCTGAAACAAACAAAGGATATTTGATCACAAAGTCTGGTGTTGCTCAATCAGTGCAAGAAATAGGGAATGATTTTAGATTTTTTAGATATTTTGATGAGAAATAAATATAAATGCCCATCCACAGGTAAGAGAGGAGGACTTGCTCATCAAGCAGATACCTAAGTTTAAATAGAGCATCCTCACATCAGACATTTGGGGATATTTTTGAGAAAACAGACTTAATCAATGTGCTAAAAAAAAGTGATAGTTCAACATTAAGTTTCATTTCATTTCCAGTCAGTGCTCCCTGTTCTAATGTACCAGTAAGCTTGATGTAATAGAGCCGTCTTTCATGGCATTTGCTGCCCTTGTGCTTCTGCCACATGATGACAAAAAGTGTCTGAAAAAGGTCTTTGTATGTATCGCTAGGTTTATGGTTTAATGGGGGCTGAGAGTGCTTGGTGTGTGGCTGTTTCGAGTGGTAGAGAAAGTCTTCTTGTTGGATTACAGGGATTTTAACTGTAGTTTGTCTGTTTTAAAGAAAATAAAAAACTTCCAAATCACAAGTGGAAGTTTTGAAGGAAAGACTAAGAGCTCTCTAACTTTACATTTTTCTAAACAGTTCAACACAGAAACCGGAGTTTCACACTTTCATCTGGAGCTGTAGGAGTCCAGAAATATTGATCAAAAGCACAAACAAAAGTGACATTTGGTTGCATTAGACTCACACTTTTGGAGTCCGTAGAAGTGTATTTTTCCAGTGCAGAGCAGAGCTGCTGTTCAGGCAAACTTAGTCAAACTTTTGCACAACAAACACAACATAAAAACTGTGACCTGTGCACGTGGAGAAACTTTCAGTGAGCTGAGTCTTTGTTTCATACTGAAAAAGTTGCCTGTAAAAGTTTGTATATATGGGTCTCACCCCAGTTACTATGTTATGTAACTTTGCGTGTGTGTGTGTGTGTGTGTGTGTGTGTGTGCTAATGGTCATATAGGGCAGAAGTGAGAGCAGGAGCTGTAACATACTGGGACAGCACTTTCTCTCCCTGTATATCTAGGACATTGGCTACGCTGTGCTTGCGTGTGTGTGTGTGTGTGTGTGTGTGTGTATTTGTATGAAAGTCTCATCAAAAACTGCTCCCATCATTAGCATGCAGGCGAGGTTGGCGACAGATCCGGTCTAGCTTTCACGGCTGCTGCAGCAGAGTTGTATTTCATGTCAACCTCATGACTTTGGTGTCGGTTGCTTTGTCACCTCAGCAGACGGACACAAAGACTCTTCATCATTTTAACCTCCACAGCTTCGTTACCCTGGATACAACAGCCTGCTATGGCTGTCTGATAATGTTATCTTCTGTTCTCACCCTCAACTCTCTTTTGGTTCTTTTCTTGCTGCGCCTCACACTCTCTCTTCACCTTTCTCTCTCCACCTCCATCATCTCTCATTAAATGCGTCATTTTTTTTAGTCTTCTATTTTGTCTTATCTCCTCTAGACCTGGTGATCGGGTGCAGGTCACTGATGACTCTAATGAAGAGTGGTGGAAGGTGGGTTATGAATCATTTGCCAACATCAGTGCGAGTGTGTGAGCCCTCTTGTGCGCTTGTTGATATGTAAATAGTGTGTATTTGAGTGTATATTAATATGTGTGCACGGATTCAGTGCGAGGATGTGTTTGGTAATTCAAGGCTGTAAATCAAGCCTTTAATGCAGAACACCTGCTCCATTTTTCCTGTGATCAACATGCAGGCAGCCACAGACAGAAATAGAAACACAATTTTCTCCGAAAATTACTCAGAGTTTAACATAATGAACTTGACTAGTGTTGAAACCCAAAAGAGCTCTTTATTGACTCTGTAATGAGCTTCACTAGCTCCCCATGGAAATGAATGTGCATCAGTGAGTGTGTGTGTGCATGTGTTTCAGTCACAGAAAAAAACAGACACATCCAGACTTTAATGGTTATACTGAAGTTTAGTCTAATCTCCCCCCGCTGGACCGATGTTTACTCACGTCGATGAAGTCTGAAGTGAAGCAGCAACCATGAAACACCTTAAATCAACACTGCTGCAAGCCCTAAATTATGTATTATTTGTGAGTCATCCATTCATTACTTATGTATAGCTTGTGAATCACTCCAATAAACACATAAACACCTGAAGCATGGGGCGATAAACAGTGAAATACTGCCGCATAATGAGGTTTAATCAGACATCATCTGCTTTTACTAGTAAACAAAGGGCCATACTTGGCTGGTGCTGTTTTTCTTCAAATATATGGAAACAAATCTGCCATTGAGGTTACACATTTCCTCATTTGCATTTAAAAACAACAGTCACATTAATTTGAATAATTTAAAAGCTGTTTCCACACTTACTCATCGCACAGAGTGCTAGTTAATGTGTTGCCGTCTGTCTCAGTTTGTCCTTAATTGTTTATTAACATTAGAAATAGAGAAAATTGAAGCCAACAAAATATCGCTCTTAGTTTAAACTGACATATAGATGTTGACAACATTTACATTTGTCAGCAAGTTCAGAAAAATCCTGCCTGGAGGGTCAGAAATTCATCCCACTACTTATCCACCTGTAAAACACATGGTCACCAACAAAGTTAACCAGGGACTAAGAGGCGAAACAAACTGTTATAATGTGTAGATAGTGTGAGACTAGATGATTCAATGCAGCATGTGATCTGGAAGTTATCATGACAACAGTAGAAGTTACAAATATTAAGACATTGTGCTGCTCTCCTGTGTTTGTCAGGGTAAAAGTGGCGACAAAGTCGGCTTCTTTCCTGCCAACTTTGTGCAGAGGGTCAGGCCAGGAGAGAGAGTGTGGAGGGTTGTCCAGGGTCTTCCCGGCAATCGAGAAAGAGGACACATGGCCGTGCGGGAATCCCAGGTATGCATAATTCTTCAGCTCTCTCTTACTGCTCTGTTGCTATCTTTCTTTCTTTGTGGTTTAATTGAGCTAGAAATAGATCAGCTGTTTTTGATTCATTTGTGGACTTATTCCAGACTTGGCAACTCAGCCAGAATTGAAATAGCTACAAAATGTTCAGGGATGTGGCAGCCACCCACCACTTGTCTGGGCTGTAGCTCCAGTCAATGGCTGCCGCCATACTGTGTTGATCTACCACCCAGGTGTAAACAAACACAGTGGACAAATGAAACCTCACAGACCTAAAAAAAGGACACTAAGGGCCTGATCTACTAAATGTTTGCATGTGCAAAAACACATACAAACTTGATAGTGCACGCAAACCTGATCTACTAACTGGGTGCACTGAGGATTGCGTCTGTCAAATGAGCAAAACAGCATGCGCAATTGATTTAGCGTGTTTGCCTTCATGAATATGCAGAATGTATGTAGATCATCAGAACATACAAAATTCTGGGAGGAGCACATGCAAATGGAATCATTTAACGACCGCAATGTGATCTATCAAACCCGGAAACCAATTGCGGTCGCTCTTTTGCGTCTATATTTAGCACGTTTGAAAGGCACATGCAAACTGGAGCAGCATTGCGCACGGTAACTGTGGAGAGAAGGATGCAGAAGTGCCATGATACACGCCATGATCCTTGTCAAAAAGCTCGTGATTTATTTCGTTTTTCCAGTTAATGACGATTTTCATAAATAATAAGGTCAAACACAGAACAAACAAAAGTTATCTGTTTGTCTTATTGATTTTAAATCGTTTTAGTCCCTTTTTAGATTTCTAGTATATCTTCTTGCATCTGTAAAGCACTGTGAATTGCCTTGTGTATGAATGGAGCTGTACAAATAAACTTGCCTTGCCTTTTATGCAGTTCCCCAAAACGATATGTGCAACTCCATGGTTTCAAACTCTCTGCTCTCACAAACTCTCCATGGTGACAGCCGATAGCGCACACAAAATCTCTGTTTAAAGAGGGTGGTCCGCACCACTTTTGCTCCCGCTATCAATTGCGCACGCACTGATAGTAGATCACCCGCAACACTCCCACTAATAGTACGTGCAAATTTTTAGTTTGCACACGCAATTTAGCGTTCGCCATTTTGGATCTTAGTAGATCAGGCCCAAAGTATGTATGCTGTCAACAAGTCAACTCTGCAGCAAATATATATATATATATATATATATATATATATATATATATATATATATATATATATAGAGCTCTGGCCTTGTGGACTTGTGGAGGGGGGGGGGGGGGGGGCCTTAAAGTGACAGTAGCTTAAAACAGAAAGCTAGAGACACAGGCTGAAATAATGAAATTTTGATACACCACTGTGGGAAATTTGAGTCTTTATTTTGACTGAAAATTAGGTTAAGCTATAAAAGAGGGATCAGAATGGAAATATAGAGAAATATAGAAAATAAAATATAGAAATAAATATATAGATATAAATGCATGATTTTCCCTCCTTAATGTCTAATGTTAAATCAAGGTTATCTTATTAACTTTAGTCGATATTGAATAACATATTCTTCTTTCAAATGCTTGATTTTTTATGTATTTTTTTTCTCAAGAGAAGTTTAAACTCTATATGCATGCAATTTATCATTGTCATATAAAGCCATTAATTACGATAATAACTATAGTCAACTCTTATAGATGGCCAAGCAAGTTAGTCAATTTCAATAATAGCCAATTATAGCACATTTTTTAAAATGATCAAGATGTTTAGTCATATAATTTCTGTGTCCCTCTAGATCTGTGTGGGGAAGTTAGAAGACGGTGAGATGTTTCTGAAGGTGAGCAGTGGAAAGAAGAGAGGGCTGGTCCCGGCTGACTCTATCGAGGAGATCTGAGCCTCTGTATGCACATCACCATCCTTCCAGTTTGACTTCCCGCGGGACACACCCTTGATCAAACTATTACCATCCCCCTCCCTTCACTCAACTCAAAGACTGCAGCAGTCTCCTCAACCAGTCCCGGCTGACTTCAAACAAACACAGATAAAGTGGATGAAAAACATACACTTCTGCAAAGAACAAATCTCCAAAAACAAATGGTTTTCTGCTGAATTGGTTAACTGTCTTTATATGAGTCTTTAATGGACTGAATGGTTATGTAGCAGTCCTGTTTTTTAAAAGAAATTGTTTCACTGGAGTCTGGTGTTGCTGCAGATTTATCTTCCCAATGCAAAAATCAATGTTTAGTTTAAACACAGCTAAGACATGTCAAAGGCTCCAAATGGGCTTACATAAAGCAGATTCTCATTTTCTGTTTTCCTCATTAAAAAGAAATCTACCGACGTGGGAGTCCTCTCCTTTCCTTTTCTTTATTAACAGATTCGATATGTCTTGTTGCTGTCTGCTCATGTCAGGGTCACTGGCCTGGGGATGGATACACACTCCATGTAGACTGTTACATGACTCAAAGCATTCGCCAAGGACAACCACTGCCAGCCTAAGAAAGCTACTGCCGCTAAGACAAGGAAATCAAATATAAGTGGCACACGTGATCTAGAGAGAGTTCGATGGAGTTCGAGGTGTGCTTACCAAGTTTAGAGCGCAGAGAAGAGGAGATTTTCATCAAAAAGGGCCTTTTCACAAAAAGCTTGAAAGAATTTTCCTCTGACTTTTCAGTTTGATGTAACTTTAAAAAATCACCAAGATCCTCTACACTCAAACCTATCACTGTTTCAAACTTGATTACAGAGCTCAAATTTCCAGGAATTCGTGAAAAAAATCACTCTTTACTTTCATGTTTTTGGTGGTAATTTTCCATCCAAGAACACAACATGGAGCGTTGTATCTTGACGGAAACGGAAACAGCAGGGACTGTATAAGGTCCCTGTTTTTATTCTCTTGATGCGCTTTAGCCAATAGACCTTGGCCAGTCTGGACACATCACAACAGGGATGTTTGTGACTATGACAAACGAGTGTCACTGACAGTTTGACAACAATAGAAAACAAAGGGAGAAGGAAGCGTGGTATGAGGAGTGAGATCAGGGCTGGACAGGTATGAGTCAGTGATTGCACACAGGTAGTGTTGTACCCATGAGTGGACGAGTCATCATCGATCAAACGTCAAACTGTCATCTCCATCTTCTTCTCCTCCTCTGTCTTGTCCTCTCCTTACTGATGTGCCTTGTCAGATCTGACACGAGCTGAAGGCATTTCACGTGTCAACTTTTCATGGGTATGACTTCTATCGATTTATTTAATCACTACAGTGATTATTATAAGAAATTTGATGTATTCCTTTAGAAAAACATCATGTTTGATGGTGGGAACATCCTCCGAAACATATCGCTTGGGAAGGATGAAAAGGGTTAAGGAAATGTAAGCTCGAAGCAAAGAGTGGCACTTGAAATAATGGGAAAATGTGTGTTACCGTCTTCTTTCAGAGTAGAGTGATCATCTGCTAGCTCCTTCATTAGTCTACTTTTTATTCTATGGAACAGCCTTTAGAGTCTGTGAGGTATAAGCTCCTCTTCTTCATCACAAGAATAGCACTTTGATTTATGCCATTTGAAATAATTGTCCTTTTGTTTAAAGGAAGTCTTTTAGAGTGATTGCTATGTCACTTTGTTTCACCACCTTTAAGCTGATAGTTGTCTTTATGTGTCAAAAGTTTCTCAAGTAAAAAGCGTCCGAAATGTGAAAAATAAAAGACATAGCAACAGCAGCCATCTGAGGGAACAATGGAGTTAAGCCAGAACTGGAGTCATGATTTTACTAATGTTAGCTCTTTGTTTTCTTGTGTTGTACCTAGTTTCTATAGTATCACATGTCCAAACCATAGACTGTATATACAATGGACAACTTGGTTCCACCTTCCATTATACGAATTTGAAGCCGAATTACTCTCGGTATTTCCAGGATTTCCTCCACTTCCTGAAACCACCACTTGCGTAGTAGCGTTGTACGCATTCGGTGGGAGGGTCACTGTGATGGCGCTCTGCTCAGCATATCCCCCCGGCCAAGCTACGCAATCTTCATACGCCCATAGGCTGTATCAAGTGTCAGTCATAGAAAATATGAACTCCTTTCTACAGTTTGTCCGGTGCTCCATAGAGATTGCTGGAGGAGGCGGGATTTATGACCCATACTGCAGCCCATCACTAGAGGGTGCCATTCTTTCGGTGGCTTCACCCAGCAAGGAGGCAGACGGTGTCCATTCTATATACAGTCTATGGTTCACACCTTTGAGAAGTCAAAATGTAAAGTACCTGTTTAGATGTAATCTGAGTCCAGAGTCATTGATAAGCCACGTACCTCAATAAAACACGTTTATAAACACTACCTGCACCTTATTTAAAAGCAATCTGACCACTGGTTTGTATGCATTGAAGATACTCCTGTCTTGCATGCGTAAATGCTAACAATAACATGTTGCTGTATAGCTCATGTATAATCTGTGTTTTTCTGGATCTGTAATCGTATTCATGGACTATTAAGTCAAACAAAAGCAGGAAGCTGCAGGGTCTCTTTAATAGCCAGCTTTAGCAGTGTTCATGCATAATACCATCCTCCATCCACAGACACAGCCTTCAGTGCTCTGAGGAATAACAAAACACTGTTAAAAACACAGCGACTTTAAAAATATCTCATTCTGCCTCTGCAGGAGGAAGAATAATTGGGACCTCTTATTTCATTACACACTTCTGGAAACATGAGAAGAAGTAATGATATTTTAATCAAATACAAAAATGAAGCATAACAAAGCATTTTCATTTGTTTGACTGATTTTTTTTTTTTTAAACAAGTGAAAAATAAGTTGTCTTTGTGTGAAATTGAGTTGTCAACACAGCAAATAGCTGGCAGTCTTGTTGTCAAACAGCAGAACACATGCACCTAATATGGCAAGAGCTGAGCATACTGATGAGTTTCCGAAATCTGATGATAATGAAAAAGTGACCTCTTCATGTTCAAGCTTACATGCAAAATACGGATTTCTTATCAGGCCATCACACATTGTGTGAAGTCTGTCTTTTTTCCTATCTGAATACATGATAACCACCGCCTGTGACTACAGGGGAATTGAATTAAATAATTATGATGCAGTATTTATGGAGGGGAGTTCTTGAGTCACCTTATTCCCCACAAAGCTGTGTTCAATATTTTGCTGTGTGTGTGTGTGTATCAATAAGTTGTAGGGGCAGAAGATAAATGTTCCCTAACACAGAACACCATGAACCAGAAAATACAAAGAAAGAGAGATAAATAACTCAGGACAACATCACTACTGTGGCCTGTTACCTCTTCTGCAAGGAATGGCCTCCAACAATCCTGACAGCCAGTCGCAGACCACAACACATGAACCAGTGTGCACATACATCAACTGTTGAATGATTTAAGGTGGCTGTGCTACAGACTACACATGGGACTCTACCGGTTAACAACAATAAAAAATATTTTTTTAATCACTTTAACCAACTGGCAACTTTGGTGCTGGCAAACAAGGCTTATGATGTCAAAAGGTATAGTAATTCATAATGTATTAGCCACAATGGATGCTGGTCAGAATCTTCCAGTACCTCATTTTGCCATCAAAATCCCATTTGTAATTGCATTATTCACAGACGCATGTACATGTTTGATTGGACTGAATAATTTGTACTGATAATGTACTGGAATTCAGACCCTGACATTATAAATAGTATATATAGTGTATTCTCAGGACTTGCTCATTATATATATATATATATATATATATATATATATATATATATATATATATATATATATATGTGTGTGTGTGTGTGTGTGTGTGTGTGTGTGTGTGTGTGTGTGTGTGTGTGTGTGTGTGTGTACATTTTTTACAATCCTGGCTCTCTCTTACAGCCGTCAGGGGTGTCAGGTGTTACTTGAAGCAGGGAGGAGCGGTAGAAAGTGGCAGCACAGAGACTTCCTAACAAAAATGATTAAATCCAAATAAAAACACATCTGACAATGGTAGATTTTTTTTATTAATGTGGATTTTGCATTGGCATGGTGGGCTGCTGTGCCAAGTTAGCGGAAGGGGAGCAATCATCCCTGCTTCTGAACACTTGGCTACTAGCTGCTCGTGCTGCTAATGGATTTTGAAAATGTTTTCAGGGCTTTAGCTCTGAAGAAGTATTTCATTTTCAGGAGTGAAGCTGCTCTTATTTGGTGATGAAAGTTGGGCAAAAATATCCACTTTTTTCATTTTGGGCAAACCTTCTTTATATATTTATATTGTATCTTGTCCAAGTTATTGATTTTGGATTCGATTTTATTTGTTTCTTCACCAGCTGACACCAGGTAAACAATAGCCTGTGTTTCAACATAAGGGATCTCTGGTGGTTGATGAATTGGCTGAGTTTCACCATCAGTAGTGGCTGCTGGACGTCTATAAACACTCAACAATGCTGCCCATCTGCTGTGACTCAGAGGACCGAGAGTCCTCTCAAAGCTGATGAAACTTTGCCAGTGTGGAGAGTTGTTCAACAGTCCAATCTAACTCTCCCTCCTCGGTTTTCTCACTTCATTTCTCTGTCCAAATGTACCTATCTCAATCTCTCTCTCTTGTTCTCACTTTACAGACATTTACTCAGACCATCACTCCCACCCCTCCCCTTCACTGTCTCACTTAATCTCCTGGCTCAGCTTCACTTGCTCTCCCTCTATCTATCTGTTTCTGTCACAGCCTTCATGCTGATGTCTCTCTTTGTTGTATCAGTTTGGTTTGGAGTTACGCTTTGCAGACCCAAACAAGGGAATGACTATCTATTTCCTTTACTCGTGTTTTGACATACGATTTAAGTTTTTTTTTCTCACACAGGCTCTGTCTGCACTCAACTCTCCATGTTTGATTATGAAGATACATGTAAGGTGCCTGGGAAGCTGCTGAAAGCCAAACAGCCTATTAGAATGGCCTCATCTGTACTTAGCTTGGCCATAACAGTAGTAAAGCAGCAGGGGGAGGGATGACAATTAAGAGCTGGTTTAAATGTGGTTGTTTCTGAAATGTGGTCCAGCTACATATCTGGCCGACCCTGCACAGAGCCTGCAGGGGTTTGCTTTTGCTCCTGTATAATAAATGTCCACTATCATTATTCAGAATGTCCCCTGGTGATATTACTACGTCTCATGACCTTTCGAGGTGCCTCCAAGCAAGTGTCAGGACTAACAGCCTCATTGCCTTCTATCCTGGATCAGGTGAATAGAGAGACATAACATCAATAGAGACAGAGGGAGAGAGAGAGGGAGAGAGAGAAAGAGAGAGAGAGAGAGAGAGAGAGAGACAGAGAACAGAGGTGCTGTTCAGAACATTGTGTTCCTCCTCTGATTAGTGTCATCCATGTGGTTCTTTTGAGTTAACATCAAACTGTTTGTGCAGGGCTTTTGGAGGTTACAGTGTGGATTGGGTATGGACTAGAATCACAAAAGCTAGTTTGACTGGACAGCTTTGAGCCACCAGCACCCTACAGATGATCATATTCATTCTGTTAGCGGCCTTGCTGACAGTCCTGATTAAAATGGAAATTGGTTAAAGATAGAGCATCAAATTACAACTGAAAAAAAATGTATCTAACCTATCTCAAAGCTATTGATCCTCAAACTGTCGCTTCAAAAATATTCATGGCACATCAACAATTCAAACATTTCTTTTGTCAGACAAGATAGGATAAGACTATAATCCACACACCCAGACTGAACTCTCCTCTGTTCAACATCTATAGGCAGGAGTGATCTCAGGATTTCAAGATTTGTTGTGCGCAGACACATTTAAAAGTTCTTGGATGAAGAGTAAGAAAAGATCCTTGGGAAGAAAACATTCCTGAGGGCAAAAGACAGACTTTGCACAGCCTGATGATCACAGATATTTAAAGGGATATTCTGGTGTAAAATTAAGTTAGGGTCAAATACACCATAACACTGAGTTAGACACCCCCTCAAGAGATAAATGTTGCAGACTGTTTGCTTCTCTAGATATACCAATTTCAGCAACAAATGCACAAAAGCAAAACACAGGGGTCTGAGAAGCCACACACAAACCTCAACCAAAAAGCCACTCTATAGCCACAAATAATGCTCAGAACAGCACCTAACTTCATCAACAGTACATATAGGGTCCCAGCTATAGTACTAGCCATCAAACATCTTTTTAGCTTTGCCTGGTTTCTTTAGCAAAGAGACCAAACACAACTCACCCACTCTCCTCCAGCAGCCGCTTGTTTGTGGGGGAGCCCTGACGAGTCGATCATTTCCTTGAAGTAATACATTTTATTCCTTGAGCTGTGAAACTCTGCTGCACTTGGTGATCGACACGTCGGGGCTCCCCCACAAACAAGCAGCTGCTGGAGGAGAGTTTGTATGTTTAATCATAACTTAAATGTACGCCGGAATATCCCTCTAAGCAATTAAATTTAGAGGGGATTAACATTTGACATCCCTTGACCATCCTCCTTGTAAAGTTAATATAAACAACAAACAGACCCAGAGAAAACCTGGCTCTATTAAACAGCAACAATGTCCACTTCAAAAATGTCTGAGGAGATTTTTAATCCTACTGGGACGTCCTATTTGAATGAATTTTAAAACATTGCCACTCTTATGGAAACCATTTCTTAGCTGGTCCATCAGTGATCCGCTGCACCATCAGCAGAGCCAGTCTGCTCATTTTGATTTTATATTTTTTTCAAAAAATGTGTATCATCTCTGAGTGTTTCTCACCAGACTGAGACTGTCAGTTTCATGGGTCACATGCTGGCAGAGGAGAACCGTCTCTATCAAAAGTATGGCTACAACTTTGGCTAACAGAAACCAGTCCAAAATGGACCTGAAAAACAGCCCAACATAATAACTGCGCATTTCTCACACTCTAGATATCAGAGATTACAAGACACTTAGTCATAACTCCCTTCAACAGGCTGTATCTATACAGTCCTTTCTCAAGGCACTTTTGCAATTCATGTCACTTACATTTATTCACACTACATTTATTCACTGATTGCAAAGGTGACTATAGAAAGCATCTATCAGTATTAATGAACCCCCTATGGCACAGTAGCATTGGCATTGATCGTCTGGTCCAAGGAGGCTTAAACGTGAGGACAGCAGGACCTGGAACTTAATATCCAACCTTCAAATTGACAGATGACTGACTTTCCAATGGGCACTGAATGTTTTTGTGTCCTCAGTTAGTCTTTTTTTTTTTTTTTTCTTAAATTATGACATATGTCCAGGATTTGTTTGTAAAAATCACACCACAGTGTTCATTTTCCATTTCCTGGCTTGAATTTGGAGCAAACAACTCTCTCTCTCTCTCTCTC